GGGTTCCTGCCCACAGCTGTGGTCAGAACAGCACCCTAAAGGAGGGGACCACTGTGCTAACACCCAGTCTTCGGGTTCACCGGGCCTCCTCTGCATCCACCCCAGAGCCTGGCCTTCTGTGCTCCTCCAAACCCTCCCAGGGCACCAGAGTTGTCCGTCTCATCCATGTCCCACCCCAGTCCCCTATGTCCCTTGCATCAATCCCATCACCCATCACCCTCATGCCCCTGTCACCTCCCGGCTCCACCTTCCCTCCAGTGCCTGCCTTGGGGGCTCCAGTCCCTGGCCCCATTTAGCCAATGTCACCACAATACAGGGTGCACTGTGCTGGGACTGGCTCTCCAGAAACCTGACTAGGGAGCCGTCCAACTTGAATGGCCGGCCAGCAGCCAGCTTGCCCCTTGGAGAGGTCCCTGGACAAGAGAGCCCAGTGCCCAGCTGCGACTGCTCCGTGGGGACTTCCTCCCCTCAGTGTCTCTTCGCAGAGGCAGCTATGAGGGAAGACAGACGGAGCCTTTGCCCAGAATGCTCCAAGGCATGGGTGCCTCTGCCCCACACCAGTGTGGGCACAGGTGGAGAGGCAGTGCCCAGGGTGGGGCCAGCTGTGGGGACTGTGCTGGGGCCTGGGAAGGACTGGAGACAGGCAGCGCCCATGTGTGCGCCTAGTCAGCCACCTGGGCACTAGAAGCTGCTGGCCTCAGGCTGTGAATGGCTGTCCCGTGTGGTCCCCATGAGGACACCCGGCGGTAACTGCAGCTTCAAACATTTCCCCTTACTCTGCTCTCTCTTCTGTTCTTTTACCAAATCAGGATTCTATACCACTCGTGTATTTTTCACTCGCTCTATCCTGGACACATCCCAAAGCACCAAGTGTCCATCAAACGCGTGAGTCACATTTTCATGTTACTCAGAGGGCTTATGTCTCCTGAGAGAAGCCAACCCCCCTGTAGCTCTGTGAGGTGCCGCCGTGGAGAACATAGGGTGAATGTAGGTGCTCCAAGATTCCAGGCTGCCAAGTGGTGCCTCCAGAAGCAGGTACTGTTGAGGGTGTTCCTGGCCCCCTTTTCCAGTGCGTCACCAAGGAAATGCGTTTCCCTGTGCAGACTGTAAAGTGCAGTGATCAGGCATGAACTGTTCTGGGTAGGCATGCTTCACAGAAGCCTGGGGCCAGCAGCCCCCATGTGGCTGGCCGTGTCACTGAGGGTCCCCTGCTCTGCTGTCCTCAACTTGTAATTCTTGCTCTCATGGTTGCAAGAAGGCTCCCTTGCCAGGGCATCACGTTATCCCTTTGCTGTTCTAGGAGGCTGCCCGTGGAGGAGACCGCTTGGCAGGGCATGTCAAGTCATGTTTTCACGTTGCTCAGGGCTTATGTCTCCACATTCGTGTCTCCTTTTAAAACATTACTCTTTACTGGCCAGGCTGTGTCACACAAGGTGTCAGTCAGGGTCTGCTAGTAAAAGAAGAGGGGTGCAGCCATGGCAGATCCCACCAGTGTGTGTGATGTGCTGCACATCAGAAAGCCGCCTGTTGCAGCACTGATGTAGCCAGGCTGCAGTGGGAGAGGAGGTGCCCCTGAGGGCCGGGGTCAGTCCCCTCGGCCTTCTCCAGGTACATCCCACACAGCCCAGCAGGCCCCTGGGGACATTTACCCCACAGTGCGCATTACCAATGGGGACCTAACACCCCTAAGGGGCAGGCACGCTGCATATCTGTGGCACTAAGACCTTGTAGTGGAGGAGGCCAGTTAAGGAAAGGAAGTCTAAAGAGGCTTCTTGGGGAAAACTTTTTTAAAAAGGTTGAGAAATGGCCCTGAACAAATAAAGGCTTGTGCTCACACAAAAATCTGTAATCAAACATGGTGACTTACTCATAACTGCCCAAACCAGGAACTACCTACATGCCCTTCAGTCAATGCAGGGACCCTGAGGCCCTGCCCATAGTGGCAGCTCCGTGGAGGGGGAGAGGCCGGACCCAAGGCCACCAGCTGGAGGCCCCCACCAGTGCCTGCTGGGTAAGGCTCAGATGGACAGCAGGCTGGGTGCCAGCGTGAAGGGCAGGTAGCCTCCAGGGGACACCCCAGGGAGCCATCTGAGTGTGGCAGCAGTGGCTGTGCGGCCATTAGCATGACACCCAGGCAGGGAGTGTGCTGGCATGCGACATCCCAGCAATCCAGACACAAGCGGGGTGTTGGCTGGCAGCTACCAGACGCGAGTCCTACCCCGTGCCAGCACGTATACACTGGCACCCACATGGCAGGAGGAAAAAGGAAAATTCACCTTCCAGTAGGGTCCACAGAGTCATCTTTATTCTCCTAGGATAGGACAAATCCTTTTGCTCTGTGGAGGCTGGTTCTTTAATTTCAGAAAAGGTCCTCATGCACACCTGTCATTACACAGTAATAATTGAACACTTCCCTTTGGTTTAAGAAGCCAAAGTGGGTGCAGGACGCAGCAGATGAGGCTGTCGAGCTCTGGCCTTGGCCCCAGATCCAGTGAGGGCCAAGCTGCCGGCCTCCCCTCGGGATTTCCTTCCGCGCTGGCCCTGCCACCTGCCGGCTTCCTCCCGTCGCCACTTGGTGAGCGTTCACTGCAGAGCCTGCCCACCCGTCTACGAGCTCACGCGCACGCGCACTTTAATTTACCTGGAAGCTCAAAGAAGTTGGCCAGAACTATCGTTTGGCTGGTTTTCGTGTGTGTGTGTGTGTGTGTGTGTGTGTGTGTGTGTGTGTGTTACCGCAAACCAGACACATACCAAATTAAATATTTAACAAAGTTAAAATCACCAGTTACAGAGTATTTAATCAAATTCCCCAAAGCAGCTAACTGAAATCACATCTATGACACAGGTTCATCAGATTCTCCCAATATTTGTTCCCTCTGGAGGGCGAAGGACACAACTCGCAGCGAATGCAAGGTGCACATCTCGGGGCTTCCTAACCGCTGGCCCCGGCCACTGCAGCCACACCTGCTTCCCCACCATCTGCCCTTATCTGGGTCCAGGACCGCGAGGAGATCAGACAGGTGGGGGCTGTGAGGCAGGAGCTCGGAGTCTGCTGGAGCAGGATGGGCGGAGGGAAGGGGGCAGAGAGGCCCAGCAGGAAGCCAGGAGCACAGATGGCCCTCCCTGAGGGCCCCCAGCCCTGGCGACGGGGCATCCTGCCGAGGAGCCCAGCTTCTGAGCAGATTGGCACAGCGGGGGCCTTCTCACTGCTTACCTGCTCGCTTGGACTGGCTTGAATCCTCAGCGAGGGTCCTCAGCTGAAGGCCTCTGAGGGGGGGATAAGGGCCACCTGGAGCTGTGCTGCGAGCTTGGAAAAGCATTTTGTTTAGAACATAAGCCCAGGAAAGCCAGACTCCCCTTTCCTTCACGTCTAAATAGCAGAGGGCTCTCTGCAAGAAATTCACCTCAACTAAGAAACAAAAACATTGTAGCTGCCAATGGTCTTCATTTCCAATAAGTGAAATGCCAAATTGAATATAATCTTGATTTTATTTTCTCTTTTAAACACCATAAATGGCATCATCTTCTGTGATATTGCTCTTCCGAGTGGGATCCTCTGCCTGGCAGCGCACATGTCAGCTGGGCTCCTCAAAGGCAGGATTCCAGGGCCCACCCCACCCTGCTGAATTACAACCTGCTTTGTAACGAGACCCCAGTGAATCTGTGCACATCACGGTCTGTGTTAGTGCCGTGCTTAGAATCGTCTAAGATTTTTATTGATGTGATTCTATATATTTAGTGCTTCTATAACTTTGCTTTTTAAGTTTAGGTATTTCAGACATCTGTAACTAATTTTTGTGTTTGGTGCGTAAAAAGAAGTGTTCTAAGTGAATTTTTTCTTAATGATTGATGAGCTCTCCTGTTATCTTTTGCTGAGTACTCCATCTTTTCCCTATGGGGAACACATTAAGGGGGGAAAAAGAAAGGCAAATTATGAAATCGCATGCATAATATGATCTTATATTTGTTCAAAGAAAAGGCCCTGCAGGAGAAATGAATAGCATCCCGAATATGAATGTCCTGGTTCCTGGGCATCCTGCGGGCTGAGATGGGAAAAGGGTTGAGAGGCGGGTACAATAATTATTTTGAGCCTGCAAAAATATTTCTTTCAAAGACCATATATTGCATGATACAATTTATATGAAATGCCCAGAACAGGCAGACCCATGGAGACAGAAAGGAGATGAGGGGTTGCCTGAGGGTGGGGGGCTGGGGAGTGCTAATAACTCTGGGGACCCTCTTTCAGGGTGATGGAACGTTCTAAAATTGGCTGTGCTGCCGTGTGACACAATAGCAACATCCGACAGGACACTTTAAGGGGAGAACCTGTGGTATATGGCATACATCTCAGGAAAGCTGTTAAAAATATAATTCATTGGCCGGTACTTGAGGGCACCCACGTCCCGCTGTTCTTGGGTGAACTCCTGAATACCAGGTGTGGTCCTTTGCACCTAGCTGCAGACCGCCTGGTCACACCTGTGCTGGGGACGCTGTCTCGTCTGCCTAGTCAGGGCCACAGACGTGCCCCTTGCATGCTGGGAAGGGGGACCTCACATCACCCACGGTGCTGTCAACTCCCCATGGAGCCTTACTGGGTAGATGCCTCTTGAATGTTCTCCACTACCCAGCAGGCCGGGCACCTGGGGCTTGTGGAAATTCGGACTAGTCAGCGGTGGTCTGGGTCCCGTGAACACTGACCACCTGGACCCTGCGGACAGCGTGCCCTTGCAGCCTTCAGCCCCGCCGCGGTCCTCGCGCACGCGCGCAGCCTGTGGGGAGGCACGGGGCCGAGGCTAGGGGGCGGGGCCTGGCGGGGGCGGGGCCTGGATGGGGTGGGGCCCAGCAGGCTGCGGGCGGTTGGCGGGGCGGGGCAGCCAGGGGGTGGGGTTACCGTTGGGGGCGGGGCCGCGCGGGCGCGCTGCGGGCCCAGCAGTTTCGCGCCCCCAACGTCGCGGCAGGCCTCCCGGCCCGTCCGCCGGCCCGCCCGCGCGCGCGCCGCCGTTGGCGCCGGCATGTCGGGCCCCGGGCCGCGGGAGCCGCCGCAGGCGGGCGGGCCGGCGGGCCCCGAGAGCGCGGACGCCGCGCCGGGCGAGGCGGGGCTGAGCTTCGCGCCCACCGACCTGAGCCTGGTGGAGATGACGGAGGTGGAGTACACGCAGCTGCAGCACATCCTCTGCTCGCACATGGACGCGGCCGACGGCGAGCTCGACGCGCGCCTCGGCTCGGCCTTCCTGGCGGCGGCGCCGAGCGCGACGGCGCCGGGCGGCTTCGCGGCGGGCGGCGCGGCGGCGGGCGGCGCGGCGCCCGTGTACCCGGTGCTGTGCCCGCCCGCGCTGGCCGACGGCGGCTTCGCGGGCGCGGCGCCCTGCCTGGGCCACGTCGACTTCCAGGAGCTGCGCATGATGCTGCTGAGCGAGGCGGGCGCGCCCCCCGCGGCCGAGAAGACGCCGGGCGCCAACGGCCCGGGCGCCGCCCGCCCCAAGGCCGACGGCAAGGAGAACGCGGGGGCCGAGGGCGCACCCGAGGCGCGGGCCAAGTCGGCCGTGCGCGTCCGCCTGGAAGACCGCTTCAGCAGCGCCCCCGCCGAGCCCCCGCCCGCCCCGCGCAGCGCCGAGCCCCCCGAGTCGAGTGTGGCGCTCAACAAGTGGGTGCCGGGGCGCCGGCGGGCTGGTCGTAGAAGGGGTGTAGACCAGGCGCCCGCCAGCCTCTCCCTGTTGGTAGGCAGGAGCGTAGCTGGGCCCCCCCGGGCTGGCCGCCGCCGGCCTCAACAGGGAGCAGGCCGTGCTGGGTCTGGGTGTAGGCGCAGGGGATCCCTGTACAAAGCCACCGGCCTCCTGGTTGGCATCTTAACAGGGAGCAGACCTCAGTGGGCCTGGGGGCTGACCTGACAGGTCGTGGGGCCTGTGCAATGCCAGCGAGCAGGTACTTTCGAGTAGTAAGTGCACCCCTGAAGTGTTACCTCTTGTTTGCACTCTTGAGGGTGTCCACATGGAGGAGACAAAAGTGTACAGATGCTCCTGAAGACCAAAGGTTTTCCCCAAATTACCTGCCCAAATCTCGGAAGACGGCTCTGCTTCCCCCTACGTTGTTGCCCGGGGTTTGGGTGGAGGTGCAACCCTGTGGAAGCTGAGTGCCTATTGTGAAGCTTTGAACATGAGGTGCAGCCTCACCCTGCAGCCAGACTGCCAGCCCTTCGTGCGCGCCCAGGGACGCTTTCCTCCCCACCCTGTGGTTTTTCCCCACTTTGCCCTCAGCCATCAGATTTGGAAGGATGGCCGAGAGAGAGAGAGAGAGAGAGAGAGAGAGAGAGAGAGAGAGACAGAGACAGAGACAGAGACAGAGAGAGACAGAGACAGAGAGAGAGGAGGTCAGAGGTGTGGTGGGAAAGAAGGAATAAGTAAGACGACACCCAGCGCCACTGACCTCTGTGAGGGAGGCGATTTGAACTTGTCCATGGAGACAGTCATGGAGACTTCCTAACAGGTCCCAGCTCCTGTCTGGAAAATCTAACGTTGCCCATCAGGGTGTGGTAGTGAGCAGTTGAAGTGTTTCTGGAAACTTCCCTGCCACGTGCTCTAAACACGTTGTCTCTGTGTTTCTTTTGTCTCGGCAGTTTGGTAACTCTTATTCGACGTCCATCCGATTTAGTGAATGTTCCTCATCATCAGCAACAAAACAAATGCACAACGTTAGTGAAAAATAAAACCGCGGCTGCAGCTGCCTTGCAGCTGACGTACCCTCTGTTCACTGCCAATGCCTGTTCTGCTGGTGGGAACCCTAATCTTCCACAGACACAGGTAGGGAAGGTGGTTTGTGAAGCTTTGCTCTTTTCCTTATTGAATGGGTAAGTTTTATCTTAGTTGAGTCCCAAGGATTTTTTTTTCTTTCTTGGAGCTTAATACACTCTTAAAATCGAGTGTTTATGTGGTTTGGGAATATTTTTAAGTGCTTGTGTGCACCTTAGCTTGGAATTTCATACAAACCAGATCTGACATTATTTGTTAGAAGTGCATCTATTTGTGTATTAAAGAGGTCAAGTCTTCTGCTGATAGAGTTCCTGTTGCTCCCTTTTTCTGCAGAGTTCTGGTAACTCATGTGCTCTACTTGAAGCTGCCAAGCACCAGGATATTGGATTGCCTAGAGCATTTTCTTTCTGTTATCAGCAAGAAACTGAATCCACGAAACAGACTTTGGGTGGTAGAAACAAAGGTTTACCTGAGCAGGTTTGGATTAAAGTGGGAGGTAAGATGAGGCAGAAGGTGCCGGGGCTCCCCATCCTGCTGGGGCCTTGTACCTGATGTCACTGTGACCTTGGATCCGGGAGGGAGAGGCCCTGCAGGACCGTGTGTGTGCATCATAGGGGTCCTTTTCCCACCTCTTTCCCCAGGCACTTCACTGTGAACATTCTATTGCATATTTGTACTGAGTATGGGAAAAATGAATTTGGAGGCTGCTTTTTCTTAATGGTAATGTCAGTAAACAGGAAAATTTACACTTCAAGTTACTGGAAGCGCGCAATAGGTCTTTCCCCTTATTTATGCCTCATGAGTGAGGCAGGGGTCTGAAACCTGCTGAAAGCTTTAGGAGACGATCTGCAGTTGGGCGGAGCAGTGAGGGGAGCAAGAGGTCATGGGGTGACCTGGAGTTTCAGAAATAAACTGCTGAAGGTAGATTTTGATCGCCTCAAAAAAATGAACTCCCAATCCCTTTTCCCTTGGAAACACATGGTTTCTCAAGTTACCCAACAAAATAGCACAGCTCACACTAAGCTTGTCAAGAGCTGAGGGACGCAGGACAGTGATGGAGCATTTACTGCTCTCCCTGTGTCTCCTTGGGTCGGTGACATTTCATGCAAAGGTTTATGTTAACATTTGTAAGGCATAAAGACTAATGTTAAAATAGTACCTGTGCCGAGTACTCAGCTTAAGGAGTAATTCCTGTTACCGATCCTGGTTATACTTCTCTGTATCTCCCTTGAAAAATTATCACCATTCTGCTGCTTGTGTTAAGTGATCCTTTCTCTGTAGAGGCTGTGGCCTTGTGTGGCATCTGGGCAGTGTGCACCACCACACACACTACTCAGAAGCCTGCTGTTCTCTGCTTGATGGAAATTTGACATATGTCTGTAGCATAAATAAAAGCTATGATGAGACTATGTCGCTTATGGGGAGAAGAATTGCTTGTAGGCGTAATTGATCTTAAGCCACTTGGATTTTGTCTTCTTCTGAGCATTGCAGTTAGAACATCAGTTGTCAGAATAATTGTATATAAAGAAAATCTTTTGGAGAAGTATTTTCAGCTTTTGTTTCCTTTCTGAATATGAGAAGCATCAAAAAGTGCTGGATTTCTCTATTCATAGATGACAGTTAACACCTGTTGACAAAAAAGGGGGACTTTGACAAGGTCATTTTGATTACACAGTATTGGGAATGTTTCAGTGTAGCCATAGGTTTAGGTTCAGTTTTGTGGCCTGGAAGTTGGCACGACCTGCTCCTGTGGAATCGTGTAGCCTGGCCCTTCCCTCAGTTCTGGGTGCCCCTCCCAGATTTACATCTTGGATTGAAAATGCATTTGTGGGGATAAGTTAACAAGGAAAAAATTTAAATGCCCTTTTGTCGTCTTTGCAAAGAAGAAGCGCTATGTAAGCAAGCGGTCAATAAGAGGAGTCGGAGCAGAATCCACCAGCCAGATACGGATGTGCAGCGAAGGGCCCTGGGAGAGATCCAGAATGTGGGCGAGGGTTCTGCTGCCACACAGGATGCCTGGCAGTCGGTGGAGTCCTCACAGGCGAGCCTCGGGGAGCAGGCGCAGAGTGGGCCGCCAGGAGGGCGGTCTCAGCGCAGGGAGCGGCACAACCGCATGGAGAGAGACAGAAGGTAATGGCTGTGGCGTCAGGACCGGGCCACCAAGCCTGTCGCAGTCACTACTGGCGGCAGATGGCTACTGCGTGCAGTAGCTTAGCCATCTCTGTGTTCAAAGGGAAGGAAAGTCGGCAAGAATAAACAGTGCCTTTGTTTTGCTAGGTAGGTCGGGGTCCCCAAGATACCTCCCAAGTTAGATGATGCAGTGGGGGGACTCATGGTGTCGATTCATTACAGAGGGACAGCTCAGCAGAGGCAAGCAGGGAGGAATCGGGGGGCCCAGACACAGGCCGCCAGCGCGGTCACCCCCACGTGCCTGTTTCTGCCAGCGCCAGCCAGGGAACCTGGAGGCTCTGTGCCCTGAGACCTTACAGAGCGGCCATGCAGGCTTTCTGTGCCTGGCACGCAGCCAGGCTCCGCACCTCTGGAAGGAGAGTGGGAGGCAGGCCGGTGTTCAACAAGAGCCTTACTGTCTGCGCAAGCAGGGAGCCCCTCCTAACGAATGGAGGGGGGATCCTCCCAGAATCTGAGTTCCCAGATGCCAGTCAGGGACCAGCCTCGCGAGTGGGCCTTCCCAGGGAGCCGGAGTCCGCCACGGGAGCACTGCTTACAGTGGCTGCTGAGTCTTGCTGTTTTTTTTTTAAAGAATGTTGAGGAAAGAGGAGGCTAAAACTTCAGCTTGTTTATCTATAGAGTTATTCGTACTGTTGTAGAATCAGAAGGTACTTAATTTCTTTCTGTTGTAGCTGGGTTTTTTCATAGTGTTCCCCTAACATGAAATTGATTAACTTGGTCATTTATTGAGCACTTTGTACCAGTTCCCGTTTTAGACTCAGGAAATACAGCAGAGCAAGACATCTTTAGTCTGTGAGCCCCAGTGCCAAACTAAAGCGATTCATTTCTTTTCAAAGGGATGTATTAAAGCTCGCTGGCTCGCCAGTCATCTTAGACATGTGCACACACTCTGGCTGAAGGACTTCACTGACTCACTGTAAACTATGAAGGACATTCTTCCTACTCCGACATCAATAAACATTTACTAAATACATACTGTGTGAAAACCCTTACCTGTTGACAGTGAAAGTTTGAATTCCGGTTCTGCCATTGCCTAGTTTAACGACCTTCAGCAAACGCTTCGCCTCCAGTCTGGAATTTCTCCTCTAAAATAGAGATGCTATCTGCCCAATAGACTTGAGATGAGGGGTAAAGAAGCTGCTGTGTAAGGAGCCTCTGGCCCAGTGCCTAGAAGTTAGGGAGTGTCTGGGAAGTGCCGGCTGTTGTTTCAACCTTGCAAGTTTCCACATAAAGTTCTAAGTGTGCAGTTGGGAAATGAGAACAAGAGCCACACTGAGTAAGCAGCTCGGTGTCAGCTTGTATAGGACGTGACATGCTACCCAGTGGAACGTGTAAAAGTCAAAAGTGGTTTAATAATTTAAATCACGACTTGAGCCTTCCTCTCTCTTGAAAGACCAGGTTTGGGATATTAAAAGTCTCTGGTCTGTGGCCCTTTTTGAACCAGGGCCCCTTGGAGAATCAGAGCTGTGCCTCCTTGGTGTGAGTTCGTTCCTTAGGATGGTATCAGGGCAGCTCAGTGTGTTGGGTGGAACAGTGACCTGCCCTGAAAAGGCACGGACAGTTTTGCTTGTGCATTCAGGGTGTTTGAATCCATCCTTGGTCCAGACTCAAGCCTGTCCCTGTCTCCTGGCAGTGAGAAGCGGGCAGGGAAAGCTCCCGGGGTGGCAGGTCTGCATGGGTGCGCGCTGTGCACCCTTGGGCCCCTGGTTTGCCCTCCTGCTGCTGCCACCGCCCTATGTGGCTCCCCTGGACTTTGATTGTAGGCGCAGAATCCGCATCTGCTGTGATGAGCTGAACCTTTTAGTCCCGTTCTGCAACACTGAGACCGATAAGGCAACGACTCTGCAGTGGACGACGGCGTTCCTGAAATACATTCAGGAGAGACATGGGGACACTCTCAGAAAGGTGAGTGTTTAGGCCGGCATAGTGTCAGAGTGCCGCAGCCCTCAGCGCTCTTACACATGCATCCCCTGGGCTACGTTTGTCCCTCGGACTCTGGGTCAGATGCTGAGTCCGGCAGGAACAAAGCCTGCCCGTGAGCGGCGTGGCCTGTCCTTGCCGCAGTGGTAATGACAGCCCAGCTTTGTTCACAAAGTGACAGAGTAGTGACTGAGTGTCACTTGCCAGAGAGCAGCTTGAGCACCTGCTCCGTGCAGTGGTCTGTGTCAGGGCTTCATGGTTTCAGAGGCCTGTGAGATGCCTTTGCCTTCAGGAAACTCTGGGAAAGGGATGAAGTAAAAAGAGCAAAAGAAAATAGGGACAGACAAACGCCCAGTCAGTAGCCTGGACGTCAGCCATTTTAAGAAGGCAGAGAAGCGATGCTCGTGCGGGCGTGGTGCCTGGGGTCCACTGGGGGCTCCGGCTGAGCACCTGGTCCTCAGTAAGCCCGCACAGCCTTGACCCTGTCTCTAAGAGACAGAGACAGAGACAGAGAGAGACAGAGACAGAGAGAGAGGAGGTCAGAGGTGTGGTGGGAAAGAAGGAATAAGTAAGACGACACCCAGCGCCACTGACCTCTGTGAGGGAGGCGATTTGAACTTGTCCATGGAGACAGTCATGGAGACTTCCTAACAGGTCCCAGCTCCTGTCTGGAAAATCTAACGTTGCCCATCAGGGTGTGGTAGTGAGCAGTTGAAGTGTTTCTGGAAACTTCCCTGCCACGTGCTCTAAACACGTTGTCTCTGTGTTTCTTTTGTCTCGGCAGTTTGGTAACTCTTATTCGACGTCCATCCGATTTAGTGAATGTTCCTCATCATCAGCAACAAAACAAATGCACAACGTTAGTGAAAAATAAAACCGCGGCTGCAGCTGCCTTGCAGCTGACGTACCCTCTGTTCACTGCCAATGCCTGTTCTGCTGGTGGGAACCCTAATCTTCCACAGACACAGGTAGGGAAGGTGGTTTGTGAAGCTTTGCTCTTTTCCTTATTGAATGGGTAAGTTTTATCTTAGTTGAGTCCCAAGGATTTTTTTTTCTTTCTTGGAGCTTAATACACTCTTAAAATCGAGTGTTTATGTGGTTTGGGAATATTTTTAAGTGCTTGTGTGCACCTTAGCTTGGAATTTCATACAAACCAGATCTGACATTATTTGTTAGAAGTGCATCTATTTGTGTATTAAAGAGGTCAAGTCTTCTGCTGATAGAGTTCCTGTTGCTCCCTTTTTCTGCAGAGTTCTGGTAACTCATGTGCTCTACTTGAAGCTGCCAAGCACCAGGATATTGGATTGCCTAGAGCATTTTCTTTCTGTTATCAGCAAGAAACTGAATCCACGAAACAGACTTTGGGTGGTAGAAACAAAGGTTTACCTGAGCAGGTTTGGATTAAAGTGGGAGGTAAGATGAGGCAGAAGGTGCCGGGGCTCCCCATCCTGCTGGGGCCTTGTACCTGATGTCACTGTGACCTTGGATCCGGGAGGGAGAGGCCCTGCAGGACCGTGTGTGTGCATCATAGGGGTCCTTTTCCCACCTCTTTCCCCAGGCACTTCACTGTGAACATTCTATTGCATATTTGTACTGAGTATGGGAAAAATGAATTTGGAGGCTGCTTTTTCTTAATGGTAATGTCAGTAAACAGGAAAATTTACACTTCAAGTTACTGGAAGCGCGCAATAGGTCTTTCCCCTTATTTATGCCTCATGAGTGAGGCAGGGGTCTGAAACCTGCTGAAAGCTTTAGGAGACGATCTGCAGTTGGGCGGAGCAGTGAGGGGAGCAAGAGGTCATGGGGTGACCTGGAGTTTCAGAAATAAACTGCTGAAGGTAGATTTTGATCGCCTCAAAAAAATGAACTCCCAATCCCTTTTCCCTTGGAAACACATGGTTTCTCAAGTTACCCAACAAAATAGCACAGCTCACACTAAGCTTGTCAAGAGCTGAGGGACGCAGGACAGTGATGGAGCATTTACTGCTCTCCCTGTGTCTCCTTGGGTCGGTGACATTTCATGCAAAGGTTTATGTTAACATTTGTAAGGCATAAAGACTAATGTTAAAATAGTACCTGTGCCGAGTACTCAGCTTAAGGAGTAATTCCTGTTACCGATCCTGGTTATACTTCTCTGTATCTCCCTTGAAAAATTATCACCATTCTGCTGCTTGTGTTAAGTGATCCTTTCTCTGTAGAGGCTGTGGCCTTGTGTGGCATCTGGGCAGTGTGCACCACCACACACACTACTCAGAAGCCTGCTGTTCTCTGCTTGATGGAAATTTGACATATGTCTGTAGCATAAATAAAAGCTATGATGAGACTATGTCGCTTATGGGGAGAAGAATTGCTTGTAGGCGTAATTGATCTTAAGCCACTTGGATTTTGTCTTCTTCTGAGCATTGCAGTTAGAACATCAGTTGTCAGAATAATTGTATATAAAGAAAATCTTTTGGAGAAGTATTTTCAGCTTTTGTTTCCTTTCTGAATATGAGAAGCATCAAAAAGTGCTGGATTTCTCTATTCATAGATGACAGTTAACACCTGTTGACAAAAAAGGGGGACTTTGACAAGGTCATTTTGATTACACAGTATTGGGAATGTTTCAGTGTAGCCATAGGTTTAGGTTCAGTTTTGTGGCCTGGAAGTTGGCACGACCTGCTCCTGTGGAATCGTGTAGCCTGGCCCTTCCCTCAGTTCTGGGTGCCCCTCCCAGATTTACATCTTGGATTGAAAATGCATTTGTGGGGATAAGTTAACAAGGAAAAAATTTAAATGCCCTTTTGTCGTCTTTGCAAAGAAGAAGCGCTATGTAAGCAAGCGGTCAATAAGAGGAGTCGGAGCAGAATCCACCAGCCAGATACGGATGTGCAGCGAAGGGCCCTGGGAGAGATCCAGAATGTGGGCGAGGGTTCTGCTGCCACACAGGATGCCTGGCAGTCGGTGGAGTCCTCACAGGCGAGCCTCGGGGAGCAGGCGCAGAGTGGGCCGCCAGGAGGGCGGTCTCAGCGCAGGGAGCGGCACAACCGCATGGAGAGAGACAGAAGGTAATGGCTGTGGCGTCAGGACCGGGCCACCAAGCCTGTCGCAGTCACTACTGGCGGCAGATGGCTACTGCGTGCAGTAGCTTAGCCATCTCTGTGTTCAAAGGGAAGGAAAGTCGGCAAGAATAAACAGTGCCTTTGTTTTGCTAGGTAGGTCGGGGTCCCCAAGATACCTCCCAAGTTAGATGATGCAGTGGGGGGACTCATGGTGTCGATTCATTACAGAGGGACAGCTCAGCAGAGGCAAGCAGGGAGGAATCGGGGGGCCCAGACACAGGCCGCCAGCGCGGTCACCCCCACGTGCCTGTTTCTGCCAGCGCCAGCCAGGGAACCTGGAGGCTCTGTGCCCTGAGACCTTACAGAGCGGCCATGCAGGCTTTCTGTGCCTGGCACGCAGCCAGGCTCCGCACCTCTGGAAGGAGAGTGGGAGGCAGGCCGGTGTTCAACAAGAGCCTTACTGTCTGCGCAAGCAGGGAGCCCCTCCTAACGAATGGAGGGGGGATCCTCCCAGAATCTGAGTTCCCAGATGCCAGTCAGGGACCAGCCTCGCGAGTGGGCCTTCCCAGGGAGCCGGAGTCCGCCACGGGAGCACTGCTTACAGTGGCTGCTGAGTCTTGCTGTTTTTTTTTTAAAGAATGTTGAGGAAAGAGGAGGCTAAAACTTCAGCTTGTTTATCTATAGAGTTATTCGTACTGTTGTAGAATCAGAAGGTACTTAATTTCTTTCTGTTGTAGCTGGGTTTTTTCATAGTGTTCCCCTAACATGAAATTGATTAACTTGGTCATTTATTGAGCACTTTGTACCAGTTCCCGTTTTAGACTCAGGAAATACAGCAGAGCAAGACATCTTTAGTCTGTGAGCCCCAGTGCCAAACTAAAGCGATTCATTTCTTTTCAAAGGGATGTATTAAAGCTCGCTGGCTCGCCAGTCATCTTAGACATGTGCACACACTCTGGCTGAAGGACTTCACTGACTCACTGTAAACTATGAAGGACATTCTTCCTACTCCGACATCAATAAACATTTACTAAATACATACTGTGTGAAAACCCTTACCTGTTGACAGTGAAAGTTTGAATTCCGGTTCTGCCATTGCCTAGTTTAACGACCTTCAGCAAACGCTTCGCCTCCAGTCTGGAATTTCTCCTCTAAAATAGAGATGCTATCTGCCCAATAGACTTGAGATGAGGGGTAAAGAAGCTGCTGTGTAAGGAGCCTCTGGCCCAGTGCCTAGAAGTTAGGGAGTGTCTGGGAAGTGCCGGCTGTTGTTTCAACCTTGCAAGTTTCCACATAAAGTTCTAAGTGTGCAGTTGGGAAATGAGAACAAGAGCCACACTGAGTAAGCAGCTCGGTGTCAGCTTGTATAGGACGTGACATGCTACCCAGTGGAACGTGTAAAAGTCAAAAGTGGTTTAATAATTTAAATCACGACTTGAGCCTTCCTCTCTCTTGAAAGACCAGGTTTGGGATATTAAAAGTCTCTGGTCTGTGGCCCTTTTTGAACCAGGGCCCCTTGGAGAATCAGAGCTGTGCCTCCTTGGTGTGAGTTCGTTCCTTAGGATGGTATCAGGGCAGCTCAGTGTGTTGGGTGGAACAGTGACCTGCCCTGAAAAGGCACGGACAGTTTTGCTTGTGCATTCAGGGTGTTTGAATCCATCCTTGGTCCAGACTCAAGCCTGTCCCTGTCTCCTGGCAGTGAGAAGCGGGCAGGGAAAGCTCCCGGGGTGGCAGGTCTGCATGGGTGCGCGCTGTGCACCCTTGGGCCCCTGGTTTGCCCTCCTGCTGCTGCCACCGCCCTATGTGGCTCCCCTGGACTTTGATTGTAGGCGCAGAATCCGCATCTGCTGTGATGAGCTGAACCTTTTAGTCCCGTTCTGCAACACTGAGACCGATAAGGCAACGACTCTGCAGTGGACGACGGCGTTCCTGAAATACATTCAGGAGAGACATGGGGACACTCTCAGAAAGGTGAGTGTTTAGGCCGGCATAGTGTCAGAGTGCCGCAGCCCTCAGCGCTCTTACACATGCATCCCCTGGGCTACGTTTGTCCCTCGGACTCTGGGTCAGATGCTGAGTCCGGCAGGAACAAAGCCTGCCCGTGAGCGGCGTGGCCTGTCCTTGCCGCAGTGGTAATGACAGCCCAGCTTTGTTCACAAAGTGACAGAGTAGTGACTGAGTGTCACTTGCCAGAGAGCAGCTTGAGCACCTGCTCCGTGCAGTGGTCTGTGTCAGGGCTTCATGGTTTCAGAGGCCTGTGAGATGCCTTTGCCTTCAGGAAACTCTGGGAAAGGGATGAAGTAAAAAGAGCAAAAGAAAATAGGGACAGACAAACGCCCAGTCAGTAGCCTGGACGTCAGCCATTTTAAGAAGGCAGAGAAGCGATGCTCGTGCGGGCGTGGTGCCTGGGGTCCACTGGGGGCTCCGGCTGAGCACCTGGTCCTCAGTAAGCCCGCACAGCCTTGACCCTGTCTCTCGGGCTCCAGGGGCAAGCTTGGCTCCCGCGGGCCAAATGCTTGGTGTGGGTGAAACCCTTTCTGGGGGTTCAGGTAAAAGGTGAGGTGCTGTGGCATATTGGGTCCTGTGCTCTGCCTTGGGGGACCTCGGTTCCAGATGCTGGCCCAGAATTCTGACGCCCAGGATGCGTGGCGAGGCCCTGGGGAAGTGAGCCTAGTGCCCTGGTTTTGCCCCCTGCCCTCGCTGTCACGCCACTGCACAGACTGCAGGGAGGCTGACGGGAGGCCGAGGGGGGGCTGGCACAGCGGGCGCAGAATCTCTGCGAAGAGCCTCCCAAGTCTGGCTCCTAGGAGGCCCGGGAGCGCCACGGTCAGCCTGCTTGCACTGTGCGCTCAGACTCTGTCCTCTGGGTGTCCCTCGTCTGTGTCCACATGGCGTTTACGCCCTGTGAGTCACGTGACTCCATCAACTTCCTTGCTTCCATCGCATGTTTGGCTGCGTCTTAGAGCAACACTTTATCAGATTTCTTCTAATTGAATCATTATAGTTATTTATAATGCAGTTACTCTTCAATATTATTTGTTAGAGGTAGACTATTGGTTTAATAAAGCTTTTATGTTTTAAAAATGACTTAATGTTTGCTTCTGTGTACCTAGTGGTATTATTGATGTAATTCATTCAAATATGATGAAGGTGCTCACAACAGAAAATTGAGTATCTATGCTGATTAAATAGGTTAATTAGAGATACCGTATTATGTATACATTAAGCCTCCTGGGTGTTTCTGAAATTTAATGACATTGGACTTGTAAGTTGTTTCTGGGTCAGATTCTAAGGCCCATCAAGAAACAGGCAGTACTGACGCCAGGCAGGCTGCTCAGGAGCCACCTGCCCCGTAACCTCCCCTCTGCCTGCGCGAATGCTGTTCTCTTAAAGACACAGTCATGAGAGTCTCAAGTGATTTTCTTAAATGACTTTAAAACACATTTCATTCCACGCATCCACTCTTGCCAGGCTTCTGTTCAAGAAGCTTGGGGGTACTCTGAATGAGGCAGACCCCGTGGAGGGAGCTGGCGCATGTGGGCCTCCTGCAGAGCGGCCTCCTGGGTCCCTGTCCGGGGTGCCCCGGGGGTGGGGGCGTTCAGGCAGGAGCCACAGGCCAACCGTAAAAACTAAACAGCCAGTTATTTTATGGCAGAATGAGTTTATTTGGCAACAGCAGGGGAATTGCACTTAGGAAGCAAGCTAGGCTGCCACGGGTGCATGGAAGACCCAGAGGGAAGGTCGCTCTGGGCTTTCAGAGGAAACAGGGACGGCCCACCAGTAGTTCAGAGGAGGACGACGTGGCTGAGAGGCCGGGAGGGGCTCTTGAGTCCCTTAAAAGGGGAGAGGTCCCACGACGGCCTCCCTGGCCACGGTCTCCTGGCAGCCGGGCACCCCTTCAGGCCTCTGGCTCCTCGGTGCTCGTGCTGTGTGGCGCGTGGCACGTCACAGAGGTTGCCAGGCCGCTGAGAGCAGGGTGCGTGGAGTGGGGCTGGGCCCACTCAGTCTAGGGCCGGGAGGTGGGGCGAGGCTGGGGAGGGCAGGGTGGGCGGCGAGCCGCGGCTGCTCCCAGCCGGACATTCGGGGCCGGTAGGCTGGTCAGTGAGTCTGCAGGGCTCCGTGTTGTCTGCAAATGGATGGCTCACTTTGTATTTTCTAATGGACCAGTGCTCTGAACACCTGTGCCCCACCCTGTCGCGCTTCTTCATGCACCCAGTGCCCTGTGAGCTCAGTCAGACACCGTGAGGTTGCCTCCTAAAACCTAGAGCCCTGTCCTGCCTCTAGGGCCAGGGTCCAGCTCGGTCCAACTCATTGTCTTTCTCCTTCGTCATCGAGTACCTGGCCACACTCACATAACCCAAAGTGTTTTAAAAATGATGTTTATAGCTGTTTGATATTTTCCCCACAGTCAGCGTCCATCCATGGATTAGGCAGTGCATTTAATCATAGTTTTAAGTCTCTTTAAGCCACAACAATCCCGCTCTACCCACGGTCACTTACGGCATTAAGATTTTGAAGTGATCAGGCCAGATGTCTGCAGAATTCTGAATTCAGATGATGGCCTTTACTTAGAGTAGCTTAAATTTTTTGATACAATTTCAAATTTACAGAAAAATTACAAGTAGTGAGAGCTCCATGTATGCCCACCCTGTTTTTCCCAGCAGCCGGGGCTGACATTTTGCCCTATTCGCTCTCCCTCCATCTCCTTCTTTATATATCTTCTTGAACCATTGGATATTAAATTGCAGACACCATGCCCCTTTCCCAGTATTTATGTGTGTATTTTTAAAGAATAAGTACACGATCTTACATAACCAGAGTACAAGGCTCAAAAATCAGGAAGTTCAGCATCAGTGTAACACTATTATCTGATTCAAGGCTAGTGTTCAGATTCTGCCTGTTGCCCCCGTTATATCCTGTGCAGCTTTTTTCCCAGTCAGGATATGATCCAGGGTAATGTGGTTGTGAGATGACGTTTGGAGTCATGAGTGTGAGCCTCAGCAAGGCTCTGGGGACTGGGCCTCCCCTCCCACCCCGTCTGAAGCAGGCCTGCCCCGCCCCGCCGCCGCCCGCTTTTCCTGCAGGACCAGCTTATTAGGTGCACACGTGCCGTCGCGTCCCCACTGCTGTCCTGCACGCAGGAACTCTGGGTCCCCTCACCCTGCCGGCAGCCACCCGTTTCGTTGCTCTCTTAGCTGCAAAGTGCAAAGGAATCATCTCTCTCCTTTCTCCCACAGCCTTTGACGGCCACATCCCTGTTAGCCAGTGACGGGTGTAGGGGGCAGCGGTGCTGACCCACCCCCCCAGGCTCCCTGCCCCCGTCCATGCACGCCAGTCCTGGAGCTGGGTGCTGAGGGAGCCAGGGGTCTCACTGTGGGCATCCGGGGGTGCCTCCTCCTCCCTCCTGGTTGGGATCTGGGCTTTGGCTTCCAGCTGGGGCTGCCTGCCAGCTCCTGGTGGCATTCCGGGCCAGCCTCTGGCACCAGGGCTTCTACTCTGCAGCTCTCTGTCCAGCCACGTGCCCCCTTGCCCTGTGTCATCCCTAGATCCTTGTCTGTACCCCAATCTCTGACACCGTTGGCTTCCCTGGGCATGAGAACCGGCTTCTGGGCTTGTTCTGCTGTGCTGTCTTTGGGGGGGCAATGGGGACAGTGGTTGTGGTTTTTCTGTCATAATTTGCTTTTATGTTAATTGTTTTAAAGCCTCATTCTTTTTTTGTTCAAGTTTAATTTTTTCTGGTGGCTTGAGTTAAAAGTTCATTTATTTTCATTTTCCTAATTTTCTAAAGCTCTTCTTTTTAAAAATTTTAATGATATCTTTTTGTTTAATGCAATAAATCCAAATTACTGTCATTTGGGCATTTGATTGCTGTCTGAAAATTATCAGTGGTGTATGTTCCTTTTGTTTTCGTTTGTTTTATTGAGGTACATACAATAAAATGCACAAATCTCAGTGTGCAGGCCCACGTATTTTGGCATGTGTACACATTCATGTAGCCATCACCCAGGTCAGGTGTCGAACATTCTCACTAATTTTTCCCCTTTTTCCTGTTTTGCCCACCCCCCTCACGGCGACCACCAGTCTGTTCTCTGTGTCTGAGTCTGTTTCAGTTCGTTCATTTGTTTTTGTCTTTGTTTTTTTTTAGATTCCACATATAAGTGAAATCATAAGGTATTTGACTTCCTCTAGGTCCATCCATGTTGTTGCAAATGGCAATATTTCCTTTTTATGGCTTAGTAATATTTCACGGTGTATACGTCCCACCTCTTCTTTATCTATGTATTTATTGATGGACACTCTGGTTGCCTCCATATCTTGGCTATTGTAAATAATGCCGCAATAAACATAGGGGTGCATAATCCTTTCGAATTAGTGATTCTGTTTTCTTTGGGGAAATTTGCAGAAGTGGAATTACTGGGTCCAGCGGTATTTATATTTTTCGTTTTTTGAGGAACTTCCTTCCTGCTTTCCACAGTGGCTCCAGCAATCTACATTCCCACCAGCAGTCTGGGAGGGCTCCCATTTCTCCACATCCTTGCCAGCATTTGTTATTTTCTGCCTTTGGGGTAGTGGCCCTTCTGACTGGTGTGAGGTGATGCCTCATTATGGTTTTGATTCACATTTCCCTGATCAGCCACGTGGAGCATCTTTTTTACATGCCTGTTGGCCATCTGTATGTCTTCTTTGGGAAAATGTCTGCTCAGGTCCTCGAACCCTTTTTTAATCAGGTTGTTTATTTTTTAGTATTGAGTCATATGAGTTCTTTATATATTTTGGGTATTGATACCAGATGTATCATTACTAATATCTTCTCCCATTCCCTAGGTTGCCTTTGTATTTTGTTGGTGTCCTTTGCTGTTCAGAACTTTTTAGTTTGATGTTGTCCTACTTACTTATTTTTGCTTTTATTTCCCTTGCCCGGGGAGACATGTCCTAAAAAAATTACTAATGCCAGTGTTCAAGAGTTTACTGCCTATGTTTTCTAGGAATTTTATGATTTCATGTCTTATATTTAGGTCTATAACCCATTTAAGTCTGTTTTTGTGTATGGTATAAGGTGATCTGTGCATTTAAAGCAGATTTCTGTTGTAGTGATCTTTTGAAAACTCCCACAGGTTAGGGTGTTTCTAAGCATTTTATTTATTTATCTCTAAACATCTAAATAGATGTCTTCACAGGTTTTCATTGTCTCTAAATATCTTACAGTTTCATTTGTTCGCCTCTTCAACATAGGAATTCTCTAGGAATTGGCTCTTTTCCATCTGTGTAGGGGTTTCTGTCTTTAAGAACAGCTTTATGTCTGTTTCTCACACTTACCACACTGTGATCTGTGAAGATGATCTGTATAAAAAAGCGGTCTTTCAGTGTGTGGAGACTTCCACTGTGACCTCTTGTGTGGTCAATTTTCTTGGAGTCTGTGTCTGGAAAAAATATACATTCCCTGTTTGCAAATTCTTTATGTCAGCTTGAGATCATTGGCTGTGATCAGACCTGCTCTTTTGTCTCTCAGACTCGCTCCGGGTGCTGTTCCCAGCGTCCTGCCTGTTTGCGTCCGTTTCTTTTAACCCTTTGCCTTCCACCCTCTTACCTCCCTACCCACAGCCCCAGCTTTCTTCCTCTTCATGGCTTCCTGGTATAATGTCCTGACGTGTGATTGGAACCATCTCTCTTTTTCCTATTAAGAAATACTATTTTTATTATTGGCATTCTCAGATTTACAAATCTAATGTGACCATGAGTTTTGGCCAGACATCATCTCAGGGTGTTGTAAGAATCCTTAAGCCTTAGTTATTTCTCTTACGTTTTGTCCAAAGTGGATGCTGCTGAGAGTGGGCCGGCAGTTGCAAGCTTACCTCTGGCACTGGAGGTCTGCGGTCTCACTCTTCGCAGCCGTTCCAGGGACCCTGCGAGAGCCCGGAGCCGCCGCTCAGCCCTTCTGGCAGAACCACTCGGAATAAAGACGGACACCCGGCCAACCTTGTGTGTGTGTGAAGAAAATCTCTCCAAGTACTTTGTTATATCTGAGAAATGATTGTTTTCTTGTTTCTGACTTCCCTTCAGTCATTTTCAAAGCTAAATTCTACCTTCTCAACTGTAGACAAATACTTCATATTTGGTCTTTGGGTGTCAGAATATAGGAAATTACCAAAATGTGGTTTATCTTATGTTGCACTGAGATCCTAAAACCTTTGAAAGTTTGGTAAGAAAATACAGGTATATTGATGCACAGCTGCGGCTTCAGAACATAGGTGTTGTGGGCATAGCCTGTTTTATCGCTTTAATGCACTGTGCAGACATTATGTTTCTTACAAATTAGAGGCTTGAGACCAGTAGGGAATGTCACCGCAGGTCTGGTGGAAACAGCAAGAGAACTGAAGTTGGACGTAGGGCCCGAGGGCAGGACCGCACTGCCGCGTCTCACGGCAAAGCCGGAATAGACCACAAGCTGCTCACTGCAAGCAGAAGGAGGTGCTTTGAGGTGGAATCTGCTCCTGCTGAAGATGCTGTGGAAACTGTTGGAATAGTAAGGATTTGGAATGTGATGTGAAACCAGGTGATAAAGCAGCAGCAGGGGATTGACTGCATTTTTGAAAGAAGTTCTGTGGGTAAAACGCTACCAAACAGCATCACAGCTCCAGAGACGGCGCAGTAAAGGAGGGGGCAGCTGGTGCAGCAACTTCTCTGAGTTCTGGGTTTAGAGCTTGCTGTGGCCGCCCCAACTTCAGCAACCACCACCCCGATCGGCTAGTGAGACCCTCTGCCAGCAAAAAGATTACAAGTTGCTGAAAGCTCAGATGGTCAGCATATTTTAGCAATAAAGTATTTTTTAAAAAAGGTGTATACTTTTTTTAGACATGGTACTGTTGCATACTTAAAAAACTACAGTATAGTGTGAACATAACTTGGATATACACTGGAAAACTAAAACTTCATTGGACTGGCTTCACTGCAGCAGTCTCGAGCCCGGCCTGCAACATCTCTGAGGTGTGCCTACAGTACCAGGCGACAGAGTCCCAGCCGGTCCCAAGATTTGGAAGTTAAACCAGTGGCAGTAACTTCCCTTCCTGTGAATTAAATATAAACCTACAGCCCAGCAACAAAAGGTATAGTTCAAAAACGGGCAAAGGACTCGGATAGACCTTTCTCCATGAAAGTTAAGCAAATAGCCAGCAAGCACACAGAAGGTGCTGCGCATCACTGATCACCAGGGAAACGCGAATCGAACCACAGTGATGTCACGTGACATCCATGAATCATGGCTATCATCAAAACCCAGAAAATAACAAGTCCTGCAGAGGATATGGGGGACGGGACACCTTGGGATTGCTGGTGGGATGTAAATGGTGTGTCCGCTGTGGAAGACAGTCCGGTGGTTCTTCAGAAGGGTAAACAGTTACCACATGACCAGCAAGTTCATGTTGGGTGGATCCCAAACAAATCGAAAACAAGGGCTCAAATGGATGCTTGTAGGTGAGTGTTCATGCAGCATCATTCCCAGCGGCAAAAGGTGGAACCAACTGAGGGTCCAGCAGTTGAATGGGCTAGCAAAGAGGGGTCTCTCCATACCACGGAGGGCTCCTCCAGAAACACGAGGACACCCTCACCCTCCGGCAGCACGAATGGGCCATAAGGGCCTGGCGCTGAGTGGGGTAAGCCAGACACAACAGGACAGACACTGCGTGCCCCCACTTACAGGAGGTACCAGGGCGGCCAGTCCATAGAGGCAGGAAGTGGGAGGTGGGCGCCAGGGGCTGGGTGGCCTATGCGGAGCACATGTTGAATGGGGACGGTGTGTCGGTTGGAGAAGATGAGAAAGTTCTGGAGATGCAGGTGGCAATGGCCGCACAGCAGGGTGAATGTACCGGATGCTATACTTCAGGTAGAAATGGTTAAAATGGATCTTACATTGTATATATTTTACTATAATAAAAACATTAACTTAGATCTAATTGTGTAAGAGTGCTGTGCTTTTTTACTTTTAAAAAGACTTCGGGAAATTCGTGCATACACAAAAGCGTGAGAACAGAAGCAGTCGTAACAGCTTCAGGCACAGTTTGTTCCAGCTGTACCTTCCCATCCTGCCACCTTCACTCGCTTATTTTACAGCAGCTCCAGACTCCTCATCATCTCCCTAGAAAGGAGAGGGTTGTTTAAAAATGTGATCATACATCGTATCGTTCCAGAAACCATCCCCATCTTCCTGCACTTGACATGAACCAGGATCCAAACGTAGCCAACCGGAACGTCTAATCTGTAATGGCTCCTGTGTCCTCTTTCCTTGCCAGTTATTATCAGAGACAGAAGCGTCTCTGGTGTCCCGCCTTCAGTGTTTTGCATGCCTGACATCCTCTGCTGCCCAGAGGCTGATGAGATTCCTGCTACCTGCACGCACTTGTCTCCTCTCGGGAGGTTTAGGCTGACCTGTGTGCTCAGGACTGGTCGGTCTGATCCTGGCCCTTTAAAGGGACATTGGGGCCAAGCCCCACGAACAAGCCCAAAACCAGCAGGGCTCTCTCTGTGGGTACAGAGACTGCCCCAGCGCCATGCCTCCCACAGAGCCCTCACCTCTGTGCGTGGGAAACACACATGCTCAGGGCTCAGGATGTAATGGGTCCCGAGTGTGTGGGTGGGTGGTGGAAAGTTCTGGAACTGGATGGTGCTGATAGCTGCACCGTAGTTTGAATGTACTTAATGCAACTGAATTGAATATTCACAAATAAAATGGTGAAATGTATATTTTACCACAATAAAAATAACATACAGATATGGCTGTTTTTAAATAGAAGGCGGCTTCATAACATGGTACAGCATTTTGAGAATCTCTTGGAAAACCAAATAAAAAGAGTTAAGTGTAACTACAGCTGAGCCTTGAACCAGGTGGGAGTTGGTGGGGACAGCCGCCCATGCAGTGGAATATCTGCATATAGCTTTTGACTTCCCAAAAATGTAACTACTAATAGCCTATTTGGATTAGAAGCCTTACCAGTAACATAAACAGTCGCTCATTTTTTGTGACATAAGTATTAGCACATTTTGTGTGTTATATGTATTGTATACTGTATCCTTACAGTAAAGTGAGATAGAGAAAATGTTCTTTAAAATTTTCACAAATCTCCAAATAATTTTCCACTGTATTTATTGAAAAAAATCCACATAGAAGTGCACCCCCATGGCTCAAACCCATGTTGGTCAGCAGTCAACTGCATCTGAGAAAAATGTTTGAATTTCTATTTTTATTTTATATACCCCCTTACAAGATGTGACCTAAGCTGTGAATGACACCTTAATCTAACTATATATTTTGAAGTACAGCTCTTCATTTCAACCTTTTGTGTTTCTAAACATAGTAGTTTTTATGTCTTAAATGTCTTTGATGTTGATAAATTCAGTATGTAAGTGATCATTTCTTGACTTCAGGAATTTGAAAGTGTATTTTGTGGCAAAACTGGCAGAAGACTCAAGTTGACCAGACCAGACTCCTTGGCGACGTGCCCTGTGCAAGAGGGTCCGCAGAGCACCCCTGCCGTGGATGTTAAGTAAGGAGCTGAACGCCAGTTCCTGGAGAAACCGGCCATTCCCTTGCGACCACAAGCATCTCCGCACCCCCGGACTCCGCGCTGATAGTCCGCCTTGAAAGGGCCATGGTTCGAGTTGAGGGGCTCTGGTGGGACTGTGAAAGCAGATTTTTAAGAATACCTAGAACAAATTACTTTACAAATGTCCTCTTAGACCATTTGGGGATGAAGACATCTTGACAATCAGTAATTTATTAATTATCTGTCTGATTTCATCATGTTTTCTTAACATGATAACTTAAAAAAATTAACATCCTTTGTAATTTCTTTAGTCTTAAAAGGTACATTGCTTTTTACTTATTTTATTTACATTTTAAATATGCCCTCTTAGCAACTGGAACAAGTTAAATAGTTCTTAACTAGAAGTAGTTTGAGATTTTATCTCATTTGTTTCTCACTCCCCCTTGTAATGGTCCCAGTGGAAAGGCACTATGTCACAAAAGGCAGTCCTGTCCTGACCCTTCCACTGAATGTCCTCCAGACTTCCCGTAAGGCCCCTTTTGTCCACATGAAACATTGTCACGGCGGGTGGCTTCAGGGCCTTCGCTTTCACCTGGAGGGTCATGCTTGCTATGTAATAAACTGTAGTGTTTGGAATGGAGTTTTTCAAATGAGTGGCTTTATTTATTACAACAGATCATACCAGTAGACTTTAGTGTGATACAAAGTCACCTTCAATAAATACTGTTTTTTGGAGATAGTTTGTCCACAAAAGCAGGAGCTGACTCAGGTGAGAGCTTTGTGTCAAAGGGACCCATACATTAAGTTAATTTTTTGTTACACTGTGGGTAGTCAATCTGAAGATATAATATCACTTTATTGAGATTATATTTAGACTTTAAACAAATGCTATGTAAACAAGTCGCTGAATATTATCTGTTGGAATCCTACAAAACTTCGTGTATGTACACGCTCTCTCCCTCTCAAATGCTGGGTTTACAATTTTATTACATAGGGTCTGTGTCTGAGGTATGATGTCACAGCTGAAACGGACCACCGTTAATACTCGCGGAGACGGAGTGCTTGACAACAGCTCAGGGACGGGCACGGTTTCCCCTGAAACCAAGCGTCCAGCTGCTGCCATTGAGGACATGTTGGGGCAGCCAGGAAGGCCTCGCCTGACGGCACGGCAGCACAGTGTGCAACACTCCAGGCGTGGCCCTCGGGGCTTGCCACTCCTCTCACCTTCTGAGGTTCTGTTTTAGGAGCGTCTAGCACCTGATTTTTCCCCGCCGCCTCCCATCACGGCTCCTTGGCAGGCAGAGGTGTCGCAGATGCCAGGGGGCCCCTGGGCTCCAGCAGCGCCGGGAAGGCCAGGATCTCCAGGAAGCCCGGGCTCACCGTGGGCCCCGTCGCGGCCGTCTTTGCTGATGCCAGGCACACCTTGTGGTCCTGAGACAGAGCGGGAAGGTGAGTGTGCACGCGGCGGGAAACTACACCGCCCAGCCGGCCAGCCCCTCTGCCTCACTAGCTTACTTCCTGACTCTGGAAGAAGCCCTGGGTAGGAGTGCTGGCCACGGGCGAGCAAGGGCAGAGGCCCTAAGTGGGGGAAGAGGTGGCGGGTGCGGTGAGAGGTGCGCACGTCAGGGTTTGCCCTCGGGTGGCAGCTGGCACGTGAAAAAGAGATCTTTGGAGCTGCATGGAGAGCGGGTGCAGAGCGGGCAAGAGGGTCTGCACGGGAGTGGCTTGTTGAGTGATGCTGGTGGCAGCCATGGGGACGGGTGTGGGTGAACAGAAGGGGAAATCTACCTGGCAGTGGCACCTGCCCAGGTGCATGGTGGGCGGAGGCAGAGGTCAGCAAAGTTGAGACCAGGGGGTGAGTTGCAGCCTCGAGGGCCAGGAGAAGAGCATTCGGGTATTGGGGTGCAGCAGGGCCCGTGGTATGGAAGGGGCTCAAGAGCTGGAGCTGACTGCCAGGATGTGTGTGTAGGTGGCAAGGATTCCAGAGGCGTCTCGGAGAGGCTGGGGTGTCCCCTCCGGTGAGCAGCTCTCCCTGCCGCCACCCCATGACAAAGCATTTATGTTGGATACTGAGAATGTAAACATTCAGGGTATGTTGGGGCCAAGGAAGAAAATTCTGTTAGAATCTACTTAACAAGTAGACACAGGAGGGCCTGTTTATTGATTAATGGCCACTCTCCTGTGTAGAAGCTTAAACTATTCCTCAGCTCAGCTCTGAGAATGCTTGGCCAGGAGAGAAATCGTTCCTGTGAGAGAAAACGTGTCCCACCTGCCACCCTGGCCCTGCTCTGTGTACAAATGTAGGGAAGGTGCCCCAACAGGAGATTTAGTGGCAGCGCCCCGTACCTTGGAGCCCCTGGTCTCCATGAGGCCCGTCAAGACCCGTGCCAGCCAAGCCCTTGTCTCCTCTGTCGCCCTGGTGGCCTGTGGTAGGTATTAACAGAAGCACGTTTAGAACACCTGGTGCAAGTTTAAGGAAAGCCCTCTGGTGTGTCGCAAACCACACCACGAGCCCATGGTCCCCCCCTTTTACAAATAGGATGCCCGCTTTTTAAGCTTTCTGCTGAAGTAAAACACATTTAGGGAAGTACCCACCACACATTGAGTGTGAAGGCAACAGACTGAATGAACCCACTGTGTGACTACCCAGCGTCAGAGTGGCCACTTTTGATGGTATTCTAGTTTGTTTAAAATATTTCTGTCGAGCAGCTGAGTACCTATTTTATACTCCTACTATCATGAGTTTGACCCACAAGTCACCTAAGGGTGTTTGGGATGGTCCCTCTGTGTCACGCCAGCCTTCCACTCCTCCTGGCTCTGGGCACCGAGGCGTGCTGAAGCCCGTGTGTTGTGCAACAGGAGACGTGAACAAGTTACTGTGCAGTTGGTTTTCTGGCAAATCAGCCTTCCGTGGGGACAGCGACGCTCGACAGGAGCATTTTGCAGGCAGTCAGCCTGCTGTCGGTGCGCTGGTGTCAACGGTAGCAACACCAGCTGTGTGCAGGCTGGTACGTCAGTGCGTGTTCCTGCCACGGAGTGGAAGGTGGGCCTTGGTGGCCCTGAGGCCCAGGGCAGCAGGGCTCAGCTGCTGTGACTTGCTGGCCAAAGTTGGTTCTGGGGAAGTGCCCCTGACCTGCTGTGTCGCAGGGGAGACGGAAGCTCAGGGGAACGGTGACTGGTGCCTGAAGACCTGCAACGGCTGTCCGGAGGTTGTCCGCTTTACTGAGGAAGGGACGGCGGCCCTGGGAGGCAAAGCTGTCTGTCAGCCTCCTGCCGGGAAAGGCCTGCCTTCCACTGCCACACAGGAGCAGCGCCCTCAGAGGACGGGCATCGACCAGCTGGTCTATGTGGGGGCTCCACTTGAACAGCAGCAAAGCTGTTTTTGAATTTTATTTTCAAAAGTTTTGCAGGCATTCAGATCCCTGTTTGAAAAAANCATTTCCCTGATCAGCCACGTGGAGCATCTTTTTTACATGCCTGTTGGCCATCTGTATGTCTTCTTTGGGAAAATGTCTGCTCAGGTCCTCGAACCCTTTTTTAATCAGGTTGTTTATTTTTTAGTATTGAGTCATATGAGTTCTTTATATATTTTGGGTATTGATACCAGATGTATCATTACTAATATCTTCTCCCATTCCCTAGGTTGCCTTTGTATTTTGTTGGTGTCCTTTGCTGTTCAGAACTTTTTAGTTTGATGTTGTCCTACTTACTTATTTTTGCTTTTATTTCCCTTGCCCGGGGAGACATGTCCTAAAAAAATTACTAATGCCAGTGTTCAAGAGTTTACTGCCTATGTTTTCTAGGAATTTTATGATTTCATGTCTTATATTTAGGTCTATAACCCATTTAAGTCTGTTTTTGTGTATGGTATAAGGTGATCTGTGCATTTAAAGCAGATTTCTGTTGTAGTGATCTTTTGAAAACTCCCACAGGTTAGGGTGTTTCTAAGCATTTTATTTATTTATCTCTAAACATCTAAATAGATGTCTTCACAGGTTTTCATTGTCTCTAAATATCTTACAGTTTCATTTGTTCGCCTCTTCAACATAGGAATTCTCTAGGAATTGGCTCTTTTCCATCTGTGTAGGGGTTTCTGTCTTTAAGAACAGCTTTATGTCTGTTTCTCACACTTACCACACTGTGATCTGTGAAGATGATCTGTATAAAAAAGCGGTCTTTCAGTGTGTGGAGACTTCCACTGTGACCTCTTGTGTGGTCAATTTTCTTGGAGTCTGTGTCTGGAAAAAATATACATTCCCTGTTTGCAAATTCTTTATGTCAGCTTGAGATCATTGGCTGTGATCAGACCTGCTCTTTTGTCTCTCAGACTCGCTCCGGGTGCTGTTCCCAGCGTCCTGCCTGTTTGCGTCCGTTTCTTTTAACCCTTTGCCTTCCACCCTCTTACCTCCCTACCCACAGCCCCAGCTTTCTTCCTCTTCATGGCTTCCTGGTATAATGTCCTGACGTGTGATTGGAACCATCTCTCTTTTTCCTATTAAGAAATACTATTTTTATTATTGGCATTCTCAGATTTACAAATCTAATGTGACCATGAGTTTTGGCCAGACATCATCTCAGGGTGTTGTAAGAATCCTTAAGCCTTAGTTATTTCTCTTACGTTTTGTCCAAAGTGGATGCTGCTGAGAGTGGGCCGGCAGTTGCAAGCTTACCTCTGGCACTGGAGGTCTGCGGTCTCACTCTTCGCAGCCGTTCCAGGGACCCTGCGAGAGCCCGGAGCCGCCGCTCAGCCCTTCTGGCAGAACCACTCGGAATAAAGACGGACACCCGGCCAACCTTGTGTGTGTGTGAAGAAAATCTCTCCAAGTACTTTGTTATATCTGAGAAATGATTGTTTTCTTGTTTCTGACTTCCCTTCAGTCATTTTCAAAGCTAAATTCTACCTTCTCAACTGTAGACAAATACTTCATATTTGGTCTTTGGGTGTCAGAATATAGGAAATTACCAAAATGTGGTTTATCTTATGTTGCACTGAGATCCTAAAACCTTTGAAAGTTTGGTAAGAAAATACAGGTATATTGATGCACAGCTGCGGCTTCAGAACATAGGTGTTGTGGGCATAGCCTGTTTTATCGCTTTAATGCACTGTGCAGACATTATGTTTCTTACAAATTAGAGGCTTGAGACCAGTAGGGAATGTCACCGCAGGTCTGGTGGAAACAGCAAGAGAACTGAAGTTGGACGTAGGGCCCGAGGGCAGGACCGCACTGCCGCGTCTCACGGCAAAGCCGGAATAGACCACAAGCTGCTCACTGCAAGCAGAAGGAGGTGCTTTGAGGTGGAATCTGCTCCTGCTGAAGATGCTGTGGAAACTGTTGGAATAGTAAGGATTTGGAATGTGATGTGAAACCAGGTGATAAAGCAGCAGCAGGGGATTGACTGCATTTTTGAAAGAAGTTCTGTGGGTAAAACGCTACCAAACAGCATCACAGCTCCAGAGACGGCGCAGTAAAGGAGGGGGCAGCTGGTGCAGCAACTTCTCTGAGTTCTGGGTTTAGAGCTTGCTGTGGCCGCCCCAACTTCAGCAACCACCACCCCGATCGGCTAGTGAGACCCTCTGCCAGCAAAAAGATTACAAGTTGCTGAAAGCTCAGATGGTCAGCATATTTTAGCAATAAAGTATTTTTTAAAAAAGGTGTATACTTTTTTTAGACATGGTACTGTTGCATACTTAAAAAACTACAGTATAGTGTGAACATAACTTGGATATACACTGGAAAACTAAAACTTCATTGGACTGGCTTCACTGCAGCAGTCTCGAGCCCGGCCTGCAACATCTCTGAGGTGTGCCTACAGTACCAGGCGACAGAGTCCCAGCCGGTCCCAAGATTTGGAAGTTAAACCAGTGGCAGTAACTTCCCTTCCTGTGAATTAAATATAAACCTACAGCCCAGCAACAAAAGGTATAGTTCAAAAACGGGCAAAGGACTCGGATAGACCTTTCTCCATGAAAGTTAAGCAAATAGCCAGCAAGCACACAGAAGGTGCTGCGCATCACTGATCACCAGGGAAACGCGAATCGAACCACAGTGATGTCACGTGACATCCATGAATCATGGCTATCATCAAAACCCAGAAAATAACAAGTCCTGCAGAGGATATGGGGGACGGGACACCTTGGGATTGCTGGTGGGATGTAAATGGTGTGTCCGCTGTGGAAGACAGTCCGGTGGTTCTTCAGAAGGGTAAACAGTTACCACATGACCAGCAAGTTCATGTTGGGTGGATCCCAAACAAATCGAAAACAAGGGCTCAAATGGATGCTTGTAGGTGAGTGTTCATGCAGCATCATTCCCAGCGGCAAAAGGTGGAACCAACTGAGGGTCCAGCAGTTGAATGGGCTAGCAAAGAGGGGTCTCTCCATACCACGGAGGGCTCCTCCAGAAACACGAGGACACCCTCACCCTCCGGCAGCACGAATGGGCCATAAGGGCCTGGCGCTGAGTGGGGTAAGCCAGACACAACAGGACAGACACTGCGTGCCCCCACTTACAGGAGGTACCAGGGCGGCCAGTCCATAGAGGCAGGAAGTGGGAGGTGGGCGCCAGGGGCTGGGTGGCCTATGCGGAGCACATGTTGAATGGGGACGGTGTGTCGGTTGGAGAAGATGAGAAAGTTCTGGAGATGCAGGTGGCAATGGCCGCACAGCAGGGTGAATGTACCGGATGCTATACTTCAGGTAGAAATGGTTAAAATGGATCTTACATTGTATATATTTTACTATAATAAAAACATTAACTTAGATCTAATTGTGTAAGAGTGCTGTGCTTTTTTACTTTTAAAAAGACTTCGGGAAATTCGTGCATACACAAAAGCGTGAGAACAGAAGCAGTCGTAACAGCTTCAGGCACAGTTTGTTCCAGCTGTACCTTCCCATCCTGCCACCTTCACTCGCTTATTTTACAGCAGCTCCAGACTCCTCATCATCTCCCTAGAAAGGAGAGGGTTGTTTAAAAATGTGATCATACATCGTATCGTTCCAGAAACCATCCCCATCTTCCTGCACTTGACATGAACCAGGATCCAAACGTAGCCAACCGGAACGTCTAATCTGTAATGGCTCCTGTGTCCTCTTTCCTTGCCAGTTATTATCAGAGACAGAAGCGTCTCTGGTGTCCCGCCTTCAGTGTTTTGCATGCCTGACATCCTCTGCTGCCCAGAGGCTGATGAGATTCCTGCTACCTGCACGCACTTGTCTCCTCTCGGGAGGTTTAGGCTGACCTGTGTGCTCAGGACTGGTCGGTCTGATCCTGGCCCTTTAAAGGGACATTGGGGCCAAGCCCCACGAACAAGCCCAAAACCAGCAGGGCTCTCTCTGTGGGTACAGAGACTGCCCCAGCGCCATGCCTCCCACAGAGCCCTCACCTCTGTGCGTGGGAAACACACATGCTCAGGGCTCAGGATGTAATGGGTCCCGAGTGTGTGGGTGGGTGGTGGAAAGTTCTGGAACTGGATGGTGCTGATAGCTGCACCGTAGTTTGAATGTACTTAATGCAACTGAATTGAATATTCACAAATAAAATGGTGAAATGTATATTTTACCACAATAAAAATAACATACAGATATGGCTGTTTTTAAATAGAAGGCGGCTTCATAACATGGTACAGCATTTTGAGAATCTCTTGGAAAACCAAATAAAAAGAGTTAAGTGTAACTACAGCTGAGCCTTGAACCAGGTGGGAGTTGGTGGGGACAGCCGCCCATGCAGTGGAATATCTGCATATAGCTTTTGACTTCCCAAAAATGTAACTACTAATAGCCTATTTGGATTAGAAGCCTTACCAGTAACATAAACAGTCGCTCATTTTTTGTGACATAAGTATTAGCACATTTTGTGTGTTATATGTATTGTATACTGTATCCTTACAGTAAAGTGAGATAGAGAAAATGTTCTTTAAAATTTTCACAAATCTCCAAATAATTTTCCACTGTATTTATTGAAAAAAATCCACATAGAAGTGCACCCCCATGGCTCAAACCCATGTTGGTCAGCAGTCAACTGCATCTGAGAAAAATGTTTGAATTTCTATTTTTATTTTATATACCCCCTTACAAGATGTGACCTAAGCTGTGAATGACACCTTAATCTAACTATATATTTTGAAGTACAGCTCTTCATTTCAACCTTTTGTGTTTCTAAACATAGTAGTTTTTATGTCTTAAATGTCTTTGATGTTGATAAATTCAGTATGTAAGTGATCATTTCTTGACTTCAGGAATTTGAAAGTGTATTTTGTGGCAAAACTGGCAGAAGACTCAAGTTGACCAGACCAGACTCCTTGGCGACGTGCCCTGTGCAAGAGGGTCCGCAGAGCACCCCTGCCGTGGATGTTAAGTAAGGAGCTGAACGCCAGTTCCTGGAGAAACCGGCCATTCCCTTGCGACCACAAGCATCTCCGCACCCCCGGACTCCGCGCTGATAGTCCGCCTTGAAAGGGCCATGGTTCGAGTTGAGGGGCTCTGGTGGGACTGTGAAAGCAGATTTTTAAGAATACCTAGAACAAATTACTTTACAAATGTCCTCTTAGACCATTTGGGGATGAAGACATCTTGACAATCAGTAATTTATTAATTATCTGTCTGATTTCATCATGTTTTCTTAACATGATAACTTAAAAAAATTAACATCCTTTGTAATTTCTTTAGTCTTAAAAGGTACATTGCTTTTTACTTATTTTATTTACATTTTAAATATGCCCTCTTAGCAACTGGAACAAGTTAAATAGTTCTTAACTAGAAGTAGTTTGAGATTTTATCTCATTTGTTTCTCACTCCCCCTTGTAATGGTCCCAGTGGAAAGGCACTATGTCACAAAAGGCAGTCCTGTCCTGACCCTTCCACTGAATGTCCTCCAGACTTCCCGTAAGGCCCCTTTTGTCCACATGAAACATTGTCACGGCGGGTGGCTTCAGGGCCTTCGCTTTCACCTGGAGGGTCATGCTTGCTATGTAATAAACTGTAGTGTTTGGAATGGAGTTTTTCAAATGAGTGGCTTTATTTATTACAACAGATCATACCAGTAGACTTTAGTGTGATACAAAGTCACCTTCAATAAATACTGTTTTTTGGAGATAGTTTGTCCACAAAAGCAGGAGCTGACTCAGGTGAGAGCTTTGTGTCAAAGGGACCCATACATTAAGTTAATTTTTTGTTACACTGTGGGTAGTCAATCTGAAGATATAATATCACTTTATTGAGATTATATTTAGACTTTAAACAAATGCTATGTAAACAAGTCGCTGAATATTATCTGTTGGAATCCTACAAAACTTCGTGTATGTACACGCTCTCTCCCTCTCAAATGCTGGGTTTACAATTTTATTACATAGGGTCTGTGTCTGAGGTATGATGTCACAGCTGAAACGGACCACCGTTAATACTCGCGGAGACGGAGTGCTTGACAACAGCTCAGGGACGGGCACGGTTTCCCCTGAAACCAAGCGTCCAGCTGCTGCCATTGAGGACATGTTGGGGCAGCCAGGAAGGCCTCGCCTGACGGCACGGCAGCACAGTGTGCAACACTCCAGGCGTGGCCCTCGGGGCTTGCCACTCCTCTCACCTTCTGAGGTTCTGTTTTAGGAGCGTCTAGCACCTGATTTTTCCCCGCCGCCTCCCATCACGGCTCCTTGGCAGGCAGAGGTGTCGCAGATGCCAGGGGGCCCCTGGGCTCCAGCAGCGCCGGGAAGGCCAGGATCTCCAGGAAGCCCGGGCTCACCGTGGGCCCCGTCGCGGCCGTCTTTGCTGATGCCAGGCACACCTTGTGGTCCTGAGACAGAGCGGGAAGGTGAGTGTGCACGCGGCGGGAAACTACACCGCCCAGCCGGCCAGCCCCTCTGCCTCACTAGCTTACTTCCTGACTCTGGAAGAAGCCCTGGGTAGGAGTGCTGGCCACGGGCGAGCAAGGGCAGAGGCCCTAAGTGGGGGAAGAGGTGGCGGGTGCGGTGAGAGGTGCGCACGTCAGGGTTTGCCCTCGGGTGGCAGCTGGCACGTGAAAAAGAGATCTTTGGAGCTGCATGGAGAGCGGGTGCAGAGCGGGCAAGAGGGTCTGCACGGGAGTGGCTTGTTGAGTGATGCTGGTGGCAGCCATGGGGACGGGTGTGGGTGAACAGAAGGGGAAATCTACCTGGCAGTGGCACCTGCCCAGGTGCATGGTGGGCGGAGGCAGAGGTCAGCAAAGTTGAGACCAGGGGGTGAGTTGCAGCCTCGAGGGCCAGGAGAAGAGCATTCGGGTATTGGGGTGCAGCAGGGCCCGTGGTATGGAAGGGGCTCAAGAGCTGGAGCTGACTGCCAGGATGTGTGTGTAGGTGGCAAGGATTCCAGAGGCGTCTCGGAGAGGCTGGGGTGTCCCCTCCGGTGAGCAGCTCTCCCTGCCGCCACCCCATGACAAAGCATTTATGTTGGATACTGAGAATGTAAACATTCAGGGTATGTTGGGGCCAAGGAAGAAAATTCTGTTAGAATCTACTTAACAAGTAGACACAGGAGGGCCTGTTTATTGATTAATGGCCACTCTCCTGTGTAGAAGCTTAAACTATTCCTCAGCTCAGCTCTGAGAATGCTTGGCCAGGAGAGAAATCGTTCCTGTGAGAGAAAACGTGTCCCACCTGCCACCCTGGCCCTGCTCTGTGTACAAATGTAGGGAAGGTGCCCCAACAGGAGATTTAGTGGCAGCGCCCCGTACCTTGGAGCCCCTGGTCTCCATGAGGCCCGTCAAGACCCGTGCCAGCCAAGCCCTTGTCTCCTCTGTCGCCCTGGTGGCCTGTGGTAGGTATTAACAGAAGCACGTTTAGAACACCTGGTGCAAGTTTAAGGAAAGCCCTCTGGTGTGTCGCAAACCACACCACGAGCCCATGGTCCCCCCCTTTTACAAATAGGATGCCCGCTTTTTAAGCTTTCTGCTGAAGTAAAACACATTTAGGGAAGTACCCACCACACATTGAGTGTGAAGGCAACAGACTGAATGAACCCACTGTGTGACTACCCAGCGTCAGAGTGGCCACTTTTGATGGTATTCTAGTTTGTTTAAAATATTTCTGTCGAGCAGCTGAGTACCTATTTTATACTCCTACTATCATGAGTTTGACCCACAAGTCACCTAAGGGTGTTTGGGATGGTCCCTCTGTGTCACGCCAGCCTTCCACTCCTCCTGGCTCTGGGCACCGAGGCGTGCTGAAGCCCGTGTGTTGTGCAACAGGAGACGTGAACAAGTTACTGTGCAGTTGGTTTTCTGGCAAATCAGCCTTCCGTGGGGACAGCGACGCTCGACAGGAGCATTTTGCAGGCAGTCAGCCTGCTGTCGGTGCGCTGGTGTCAACGGTAGCAACACCAGCTGTGTGCAGGCTGGTACGTCAGTGCGTGTTCCTGCCACGGAGTGGAAGGTGGGCCTTGGTGGCCCTGAGGCCCAGGGCAGCAGGGCTCAGCTGCTGTGACTTGCTGGCCAAAGTTGGTTCTGGGGAAGTGCCCCTGACCTGCTGTGTCGCAGGGGAGACGGAAGCTCAGGGGAACGGTGACTGGTGCCTGAAGACCTGCAACGGCTGTCCGGAGGTTGTCCGCTTTACTGAGGAAGGGACGGCGGCCCTGGGAGGCAAAGCTGTCTGTCAGCCTCCTGCCGGGAAAGGCCTGCCTTCCACTGCCACACAGGAGCAGCGCCCTCAGAGGACGGGCATCGACCAGCTGGTCTATGTGGGGGCTCCACTTGAACAGCAGCAAAGCTGTTTTTGAATTTTATTTTCAAAAGTTTTGCAGGCATTCAGATCCCTGTTTGAAAAAAATGCTATTTTGGTCTTTGGTAGGAAAATGCAGTCCTGGTGCCAGAAGTTACAGGCGTCGCCGAGAAGACATGGAGCTGTTAGGTGGTCACGTCGACGGGATGAGAAGGCGCCGGGACGCGTCTGCTGCGGAAGCTGTTCACCTCCACCTCTGGGTATCTTCAAAGTAGGTGGCCTGGTGCCTACGGGACACTTCCACCTGCTGAACTGAGTCTAGCCTCACGGAGGAAGAAAGGAACTCACAGAACCAACTTTCTCCTGGAGACTCTGAAGCTATTTTTCATAAACAGAAACTTCTCTGGTCAGGAAGTTGAATGAACGGGAATAGTGGGCTTTAAACCCTCAGTTTGGGCCATGAGGGTAGCTGAGTGGACGGTGGTGCACTGTCAGGATTTTAACATGAAGTGAATGAATGTCCAGCAGTTCATGCGATCCCCACAATGTCAGCGTGGTCACTGTAAACAAGGGGCCACCGCGTGGGGTCAGCACGGCAGCCTAAAGCGTCTGTGATTTCACTGCATTTCTGAATTGTGTCCTAGTTCTTTAAAGTTCTTAAGACGGATCTTTGAATCTTACCATTTTTACCTTTTGCAGCAGAAACGTTCATATATGCCAGTTTTCATCAATATAGGCGCTAGCACTTGTGAATGGGGTTCCTGTTTGTTCTTCCTCATGCTCTTATCCACCCCTCCTCCCCCGAATGTTGTTCTGATGGCATCGGAGAAAAGCGTCCCATTTATAAAACATGTTACAGTCCCTGTGGGGTAATGAGGAGTCAGCGGCCAGGCCCCGAGGCCCAAGGGGCTTCCCGCCAGATGGGCGCTGGCGGTGGCTCCGCCCTTCAGCACCTTAGCAGCATCTGACATGAGCCAGGGACACCGAGGCAGCTCGGATGTGTGTGTGTGAGACACGGGTCTTGGCAAGGCCGGAAGCCCACCGGTGTACCCACCTCTGGGTCCAGGATCCCCCAGCTCTCCAGTGGGACCGCGATATCCAGGGGGCCCTCGAGCACCCGGGTGGCCGATGGAGCCTGGGGACCCCGGAGGTCCTGGAGGTCCAGCTGGACCAGGCCGACCCATGGATCCTGGTGCTAAAGGCTTCCTCAGGTGAGCAGCTAATTGGGCGATTTGTTCTTTTGGAAAACAAAGATGCAAGCATTTATTCAAAGAGGGTTATCAAAGGTAATTTATGTAAAGCATAAAATAACTATACTGCTTTTGAGAAGGAAGTTTTGTTTATTGGTTTTAACTGCTTTGGGGTACAGAATCAATGCTGTTCGATTTCCTCAGCATACCCAAGAGAGAATCACAAGCCTAGAAAGGAGATTCTCATTTTTTTGGAGCTCCTTAAAAATCCCACAAGTCCACCAATATCCCTGATGAACAAAGATGCAAAAATACTCAACAAAATATTAGCAAACCGAATTCAAAAATACATCAAGAGGATCATACACCATGACCAAGTGGGATTCATCCCAGGGATGCAAGGATGGTACAACATTAGAAAATCCATCAACATCATCCACCACATCAACAAAAAGAAGGACAAAAACCACATGATCATCTCCATAGACACTGAAAGAGCATTCGACAAAATTCAACATCCATTCATGATAAAAACTCTCAGCAAAATGGGTATAGAGGGCAAGTACCTCAACATAATAAAGGCCATATATGACAAACCCACAGTCACCATCATACTTAACAGAGAGAAGCTGAAAGCTTTTCCTCTAAGATCTGGAACAAGACAGAGATGCCCACTCTCCCCATTGTTATTCAACATAGTACTGGAGGTCCTAGCCACAATAATCAGATAAAACAAACAAATACAAGGAATCCAGACTGGTAAAGAAGAAGTCAAACTGTCACTATTTGCAGATGACATGATATTGTATTGTACATAAAAAACCCTAAAGACTCCAGTCCAAAACTACTAGAACTAATATTGGAATTCAGCAAAGTTGTAGGATACAAAATTAATACACAGAAATCTGAGGCTTTCCTGTACACTAACGATGAACTAACAGAAAGAGAAATCAGGAAAACAATTCCATTCACAATTGCATCAAAAAGAATAAAATATCTAGGAATAAACCTAACCAAGGAAGTGAAAGTGAAAGACCTATACCCTGAAAACTATAAGACACTCTTGAGAGAAATTAAAGAGGTCACTAACAAATGGAAACTCATCCCATGCTCTTGGCTAGGAAGAATTAATATCAACATGGCCATCCTGCCCAAAGCAATCTACAGAATTAATGCAATCCCTATCAGATTACCACCAGCATTCTTCAAAAACTGGAACAAATAGTTCAAAAATTCATATGGAAACACCAAAGACCCCGAATAGCCAAAGCAATCCTGAGAAGGAAGAATAAAGTGGGGGGATCTCGCTCCCCAACTTCAAGCTCTACTACAAAGCCACAATAATCAAGACATTTTGGTACTAGCAGAAGAACAGAGTCACAGACCAATGGAATAGAATAGAGACTCCAGATATTAACCCAAACATATACAGTCAATTAATATATGATAAAGGAGCCATGGACATACAATGGGGAAATGACAGTCTCTTCAACAGATGGTGTTGGCAAAACTGGACAGCTACATGTAAGAGAATGAAACTGCATCACTGTCTAACCCCATACACAGAAGTAAATTAGAAATGGATCATGAAATGTAAGTCATCAAACCATAAAACTCTTAGAAAAAAACACAGGCAAAAATCTCTTGGACATAAACATGAGCGACTTCTTCATGAACATATCTCCCCGGGCAAGGGAAACAAAAGCAAAAATGAACAAGTGGGACTGTATCAAGCTGAAAAGCTTCTGTACCGCAAAGGACACCATCAATAGAACAAAAAGGCATCCTACAGTATGGGAGAATATATTCATCAATGACAGATCCGATAAAGGGCTGACATCCAAAATATATAAAGAGCTCACACACCTCAACAAACAAAAGGCAAATAATCCAATTAAAAAATGGGCAGAGGAGCCCATTAGTTCTCTAAAGAAGAAATTCAGATGGCCAACAGGCACATGAAAAGATGCTCCACATCGCTAGTCATCAGAGAAATGCAAATTAAAACCACAATGAGATATCACCTCACACCAGTTAGGATTGCCACCATCCAAAAGATAAACGACAGCACATGTTGGCGAGGCTGTGGAGAAAGGGGAACCTCCTACACTGCTGGTGGGAATGTAAATTAGTTCAACCATTGTGGAAAGCAGTATGGAGGTTCCTCAAAAAGCTCAAAATAGAAATACCATTTGACCCGGGAATTCCACTCCTAGGAATTTACCCTAAGAATGCAGGAGCCCAGTTTGAAAAAGACAGATGCACCCCTGTGTTTACTGCAGCACTATTTACAATAGCCAAGATATGGAAGCCACCTAAGTGTCCATCAGTAGATGAATGGATAAAGAAGATGTGGTACATATACATGATGGAATATTATTCAGCCATAAGAAGAAAACAGATCCTACCATTTGCAACAACATGGATGGAACTAGAGGGTATTATGCTCAGTGAAATAAGCCAGGGGGAGAAAGACAAGTACCAAATGATTTCATTCATATGTGGAGTATAAGAACAGAGAAAAAACTGAAGGAACAAAACAGCAGCCGACTCACAGAACCCAAGAATGGACTAACAGTTACCAAAGGGAAAGGGACTGGGGAGGATGGGTGGGAAGGGAGGGATAAGGGGAGGTGGGGAGGAAAGGGGGTATTATGATTAGCATGTATAATGTGGGGGGGCACAGGGAGGGCTGTGCAACAGAGAAGACAAGTAGTGAGTCTACAGGATCTTACTACGCTGATGGACAGTGACTGTAATGGGGAATGTGGGGGGGACTTGGTGAAGGGGGAAGCCTAGTAAACATAATGTTCCTCATGTAATTGTAGACTAATGATACCAAAAAAAAAATCCCACAAATCCAAGTGGCCAAAAGATGTCCACTTGGTCTGTCCAAGCCAACAAGGTACACTTATTTGTCCCTTGTCCCTGTTTCATTGACCAGACCTGCAGAACAGCCACCGTGTGCCAGTCCTGCAGTAAATCCTGCAGGGAGCCTCTTCCACTCAGTGCAGATGCACCCACTGCACCCCCAGGGCCACAGGCGGCTGGAGAGCCCGCCCACAGCTCAGCTGGAGAGTGGTGGAGGGGCCGGGGGGGGGCAGGGCGGGACCCGGGACCGAGGAGCCCGGGAGGAGCCCACTCACCGCCGATCATGGCCCCGCACAACTCCCTGATGCGCTGCTCGCTGGCTTCTCGGCCCTGAAAGTCACCCCACAAGCGGGTCAGCAGATGGGCATGCCGGCACCCCCACTACCTCACTCTGAAAAGCAGCTGGCCAGTGCTGATGGGCAGGGACTCAGGGAAGGGCGGGAACCACGTACCGGGACGCCAGGTATCCCTGTCACACCGGGCACACCTTGTACACCCTGGAAGCCGACGGGGCCGGGGGAGCCCGGGACGCCCTCCACACCACTGGTGCCGTTGGGACCCTGGATGCCTTTTGGGCCCAGCTCCCCTCGACTGCCAGGCTGGAGAGAGAGCAGGATGAGGCCGGTCACAGGCAGGCCACCCGGGGGCTCGCCAGCCCACACGCCCCCCCCGAGCAGAGGGGCTGGGGTCCGCCGACCCACAGGGCCCCGCCGGCAGCCTGGGGGCGGGGAAGCCCATGGGCTCCTTTGGGTTTTTCAGCCCTCACCTCTCCTTTGGGTCCTACAGGGCCACGGGGACCCTGCAAAAGAGAAGTGCATTTTAATTCTCCTTCGTGGTTGGGTGGTACTTGCATCTAAAGAGATCACCTAGCATATTGGTTGGGGATGAAATATCAGAGAGGTTACATCCTCCTAACTCTCCCAGTACGTTGTTCATATTGCTGAGTTTGGAGATTATGTACTGAGGCTTCGGTGACATCTTCCTTAGAGCGTGTTTAGTGGCAGCACAACACCTTTTCTGATGGTTTACTTTGTTCCCCCTTTTGTTGTTATGGATAACGGCGAGCTGAGCGTCTCTGGCTGAAGCCCCCCTCCAGCTGTGTCCTCAGGAAGCTTCCCGGCTGGTGTGAACGGGTCACTGTTACGACTGGACAGCAGAAGCCGGGACCACTCACTGGCGTTGCTGTCTGGGTGAGAGCCGGCCACCACACTGCTCAGGCTAAACAGCAGCCTGCCCTCAGCGAGGCCGGAAGGGAGCCCCCAGGAGGCCACGGGGCGCAGTGTGCATGTCGCCCGTCCGATGCACGGACCCGGAGCCCCAGGGTCACGTCTGCTTCTTCCAGCCGATCCCCAGCCAGCCTTGACACCCACACCCTTGAGGTGACCTTGGCTGGAGGCTGACAGTGCGAGCCGGGCTGCAAGGCCGCGGTGACGGGACCAAGCGCGGCCACCTCCTCCTTGCCAGACGCTGAGCAAGGCTCCATGACAGTCCAGCACCCTGGCCAGTGGGCAGCCAGGGACCCTTCTGCCCAGAACTCCATGGTCGTTTCTGTTACCTCCAGCAGAGCCAGGAGTCTTTCGCTGAGCTGGGATTCTGCTGTGAACTTAACCCGAGGGGTGGCTCTGCGGAAGCAGTTTTCTTCCATGAACACCCAGCAGTGACCAGCACAAGGTCACTTTGCAGGCACTGCTCAGGGAATGGGAGAGTGTAGAGAGCCACACAGCCAGGCCTCGGAGCCCCGCAGGGACAGCGCCCCCGCCCTGCGACTCACCCCCAAGACTGAATCCCCCGTTCCTCTGCCTGGATCTGCGGGGTTCCCCTCCCCCAGATGTGGCTGGTTCATTCTCAGCTGTTACCAAACGTGAGGCCAACTCAGTTGCACTTACCAGGTCCCCTTTGTCCCCAGGAAGACCATCAGAACCTGCGATGCCCTGAAAGTGACACACCCCAAGTTACGGGACCATCCGAGCCTCAGGCTGTTCTCAAACCTGGGTGGGAGCCGGCCAGAGACCAGGCCCGGTGGTGCCGCCGAGCTCTCTGTTGTTGTCGTGATAAAGCTTTTCTGCCAAGCAGAACCCCGGTCCTGGGCCAACATACAAGGCGTGGTGCTGCCTGACCATCAGGGCAGCAGAGCCACAGCAACACAGGACCCCCCACCCCCAGCTTTCTGAGAGACTCAGCAAAGAGAGGCCTGGGGTACAGACCCCACCCCTTTCTGGGGTCACTATCCCAGAGGGCCCGCAAGGAATGCATCCTCCCGGTGAGGATCCCAGGGGGCCGACCAGAGGCGGCTACTGTTGTGCCCAGGAGTCAGCACATGCTGCTGGACTGGCCCCCCACCACTGGTACCCAGGGGATGTGGAAGCAGGGAGAGAAGTGAGGTAGGGGCTGCTCAGAGCTCTGAGGGCAGCGCTGCACCTGACCTGCTGATACCCACTCACCTGGTCTCCCTTGGGGCCTGTGGCTCCTCCAAGGCCCTGCAGCAGAGAAGGCTCAGCATCAGGGGGGTCTCAGGAAACACGGAGGTGACCTGCACGGAGTCTTGTGCACGCCCCCTGCTCCCGCCCCCTGCTGCCAGGCCCCGCCCCATGGGTCTGTGGGGCTGTGGACAGCGGGTACAGCACAGGCACAGGATGCCCCTGCTGGGACAGCCACTTACCCGGTCACCCACGCCACCTCGGAGGCCCTGCGGGCCTGGCACACCGGGGTCTCCCATACTGCCCTTCCGGCCCTACAGACAGGGACCCAGCTTGTCAGCACCCACAAGGGAGCCCTCCCCCACCAGGCTGCCCACCGGGGCCCACTGGGTGCAAATCCTGCCTCCAGCCTCACCCACCTGGAAGCCCTGGATGCCAGGAGCCCCAGGAGGGCCCTGTGGGCCCAAAGCTCCCTGAAAGACAGAAGAAAGGTTCCAGGGTAGGTTGGTCCTCCCACGGGGGGCAGACACGGGAGCTGGTCCCCAGCACCCTGGCCAGTCGCTGGGACAAGTCAGGGGAGTTCTTGAGGGGTCAGAGAGGTCCTGGGACCCACGCACCAGCTGGACCTGGTGCCAGGCCACCCAGGGCCACCCAAGCCCTGTGGTGGTGTCACTAGCTCCACCTGGGGTTGGGGGGCTTCTACCCCAGTCCCAGCCCTGGCTGGGCTGCCCCTGCCACACACAGTGGCTCTGCCCCCTCAGCAGAGGTCTCAAGACCGGACAGCTGGGGCCTGGCCCTCACCATCTCCCAGCTTTCATGGGCTCAGCCCACTGATCTGTCCAAAATGCCAGCCCAGCCATCACAGAAATTGGGTCACATAGGGGTGATTCCCCACCAATGCCCTCCCCCCCCCACCCCCCACTCACCGCTGAGCCCCTGTGGCCAGCCTCGCCGTGCTCCCCGGGCACGCCAACATCTCCCTACAGGGGAAGGGAAGGTGTCAGCAGGGTCTCTGTACCAGGGGGCGGAGTGCGGGGTGTGGGTACTTACGGGGACCCCAGGCTCTCCTGAGGGGCCAGCCTCGCCAAGCTCGCCGGCTCTGCCCTGCATGGGAAGGAGAGCTCTGGGTGTCCACCCACGTCCTTCTGCCCGGGACCGGGCGCTAGCCTCCCCTCCCCCGGAGAAAGAAGCCACTCACCAGCTCTCCCCTCTCGCCTTTGGACCCTGCTCGTCCTGGGAGACCCTGCAGCAGAGTCGGGGGTCAGCTGCCAAGTCCACAGGAGAGCACCCCACAGGGCGAGGGGCTCCGACAGCTTCCGTGGCCTTGATGCTGAGCCCCAGCTCAGGGGCCCCCAGGAAGCCCTGTGCACTCACCGGGAGCCCATTGGGGCCCTTCTCTCCTGGGGCACCACTGCGACCGGCCTCTCCCTGCAGAGATTGGGGGGAAATGGGGTACTGAGGCTGGGAGGCTGGACTCCCCACAGACCCCACCTCCCTGCAGGCCGCTGGCTGTGTACCGACCTTCTGGCCATCGAGTCCTGGCACGCCGTCCCAGCCGTCCTTGCCTGGAATGCCCTGGGGATGGGGGCAGAGGCCTGGTGGGCAGCAGCTCTCTCTTCCCCAATCCCCGCACCCTCCAAGCCACTCCCCCACACTGGGCGGGCAGCCCCTGAACTGCCCTGGGGGTGGTGGCCTCACAGCTCAGTGGTCACCTGGTGACCTGTGCTGCCCTCAGACCACAGCTGAGGGGCAAGGACACCCAGCAAGTGGGGGTAGGCACGCGCCAGTCAGACCCTGCACTTCCCTCCCCATCTGCCCAGACTTCACGGAGACCTGGCACCAGGAAGGTGTCAGGGGAGCAGACGGCTTCCCCCACCAGCCTTCCTCGGCCTGCCGTGTGCTCCAGACCCCCCACTCAGGGGACGGGGCCAGGAGGGAGTGTGGGTCTGGGCTGAGTGTGGATGAGGGGACACAGATGCAGAAGATGGTACCCCAGAGCCGTGCCCACTGGTGCTGCACCACCCACTGTAGGAACAGTGATGGAACCCACAGTCCTGGGCAAAATGCAAATGTGGGTCTGTTCAACCACCATCCTGTGTTTTTGGATGGTGACCAACCACAGGCCACTACATGGAGTGAGAGCCGCGTGCTGGGCAGCGTGGCCAGGCTGAGCCCCAGGTGGAAGGAGAACGACCCTGGCAGGGGGTGGGGGGAGCGAGGCCTGGGGTCCGCGCATGGGCCCTGGAGCCCCCGGGAACTCACCGGCTCTCCACTGGGCCCGGCCACTCCAGGGACCCCTTTGGGACCCGGTCTGCCCTAAAAGACACAAGCAACTGCAGCTGGGCCCGTGAGGGATGCCCCTCCCACACCGTCTCAGTCCCCAGTGGGCCGCGGCCCAGTGCCCACCACCTCCCGACACGTGTGCAGGGCTGGGGCAGCTGCAGGGGCCAGTCCCAACCGCCTGCCAACTGGGACCCATCCTAGGGTCCTGGGGACATTGCAGCATCCGAGGCCACCTCACAGACCTCTGGCCCCCTGGCTCAGTCCAGGGGAGGACCAGGCTGGTGTGGGGGTGTCCGCAGCAAAGTGCCATGGGGGGCAGTCCCTTGGCTGCCCGGCCTCCCTGGTCTCACGGAGGCTTGCTTGCTGCACCGAGCCATCTCCTGCTGCCCCTCACCACAGCACAGCATCCTTGGCTCAAGGGACGGGTCGGCTGCCCAAGGCCTTGCACAGATGTGTGTCAGTGCCCAGGACGCACCCCAGTCTGGGCCACAGCTCCTTCCTGGCCGCTTGGAGAGGAGCTTGTCAGATACGGAGCCGCTGAGGGAGTCAGGCTGGGGGCCCTCAGGCTGGACCCAGCACGTGTCCGTGGCTCACCACCCCCCACCCCATGTCCCCTGGCATGTGCCGTCCACGCGCCCTCTCCCCCATAGAAGGACCCAGAGAATCGAGGTTCTCTCACTTACAAGGTCACCCTTGGGGCCACGGAACCCCTCTGGGCCCCTCTCGCCTCTGTCCCCCTGAAACAACAAGGGGGAGCAGGGACAGAGTCAGTGACTTGGGAAGGTGGACTGAGGGGCAGCTGGCCGGGGTCAGCCCCAGGAGTGGCCCGGGTGGCAGCCTGATGCCGCTGAGGGTCGCTAACAGCACCTCACTTTATGTCCAGAAAGAGAAAGACGCCACACCTCCCACAGAGGACGGACACCCTTGTAACTCACCTCCATCAGCTACCTGATCGGGTACATCACTAGTACCTGCCCAGCAGTGCCCTCCCATGCCAAGGGGTGTGCCCACAGGAAGGACCTGCAGCCCAGTGGGGCTGGGCAGGTGACCGAGGAGGAGGGAAGGGGACAGAGAGTCTAGGACTGCACAGGGCTACCCTCCACCCCCAGACACACACATACCACTTTCCCAGGGGCTCCTGGGATCCCGGGTGGCCCTCGGAATCCAATGGGACCCTGTGAAGGAGAGTGGGGGGTTCATCTGGGGCCTCTTGTCTGATGCCTGGCCAGTATCCCCAGGGACCCAGTTCAGTCTGGGGAGGTCCTGCCTCAAGCACCCATCAAGCATCCCCCCCCAGTTGGCCACCCAGTGGGGCCCAGGCCTCTGCCCCCACATTTGCCAAAGTACCCCTTTCTCTCCTGCACCTGCCCCTCCCATCCCCCTTGGGTCGAAGCCACACAGGCCCAGAGGCAGCCTTGCTGAGGTCACACAGCGCAGCCCAAGCACTCAGGGGGCCATCTGGCCTCTGGAGGTGGCCCCTTGCCGCCTGGACTGATCCCCCAAGGGGCTGGCAGACTTACCCGGTCCCCCGGGGGCCCGAGTGGCCCTGGCAGTCCTCGTAGGCCCCGAGGACCCTGTGGGGAGAGAGCTGGAGATGCACGGACTGCACCCTCTGGGGGGGCACTGAGGGGTCCCAGCGGGTGAAGGCTATGACCCCAGAACTGGTAGCCTACCAGGCACCACCCCAGCCCAGTTCCCATTGTGGGTGTTGGTGGACTGGCCCCCACAGACCTGAGCTGCTCAAGGGACTCCAGCCCTTCATCCTCACCCATGCCCCACCCTCCCCCAACTCACCTGCAGTCCCACAGTGCCTGGGATGCCGGCAGGCCCAGGGGGGCCGGGGTCACCCTACAGTGGAAGTTGAAAGGCAGTGGTCAGCTCTCCCAAACCTTCCCCAGCCGGCCAGTTCCCATGCAGTGGGGTCCACCCCACTCACAGCTGCACCTCTGAGGTTGTGGGGGCACTGGCCTCCTGCAGAGAGCAGTGCCCCTGGCCTCTGCTGCAGTGAGGCCCCAGCCCTTACTAGACACCTCCTTCTGGCTGGGCTAGGCCTCCTCTGCTGCCCACATGGCAATCTGGCCACTCCTGCCGGGCTGGAGGACACCTGGCCTCACCCGCAGCCTGAGGGTGAGGACAGAAGACACCCCCCACCAGCAGCGGCCATGGGGAGAGAGGGCAGGGACTTCAGGGTTCACTTGGGGCTGAAGCCAGCCCTTCTGGCCACCGGTGGGGCCGGCCCAAGCTCAGGGAGCTTCCCCAGGAGGCCAGGTGGGCGGGGGTCTGCCAGAGGCTCTGCCCCAAACCACTTGGTCTGACCAGTCAGGCCGTGCCGGGGAGGTGTGCAAAGCAGCTGTTTCATCAAGGCGCTCCTTCCCCCGCCCTGCCACCGCCTGAGCCGCAGCCCCGACACCACCAACTTCACCTTCTCGCCGTCCTTGCCAACTTCTCCTTGCTCCCCTTTGTAGCCGGTGGGTCCCTGAAAGCCAGCGGCGAGTGATGTCACAGACCCACTCCCAAGCAGCTTTGAACCCAGGCCTGCAGGGCCTACAGCTTGGGCAGGGAAACTGAAGCCCAAAAAAGAGGGCAGGGCTGGGCCAGGGAAAGGGGTCGGGACCCAATGCCAGCTCTCCCCCTTGCCCTCTCTCAATGCCTCCCAGTCCTGGAGGCCAGAGCCCATTGGTCACCAGTGTTGAAGGGGTCAGGGGACGCTACTTGCCCTTTCTTATTGCACCAACCCTGGAACCAGGCCAGGCTTTCTGGACACCCACCTCCCTCATATGGGTACCAGGCAGCCTCCTGCAGGGCATGGAGGTGGCTCAGGTCTGGAGTCACTTCTCAAGCATGACTCACCTTGAACCCTGGCATCCCCGGGGGCCCTGGAGGGCCTGGCGGGCAGATGGCCGGGCACTGTTGGAGAACAGAGAGGTCAGACCCCTGCCAGACAAACAGCAACCTGATGGCAGCTCTGAGCAGGACTTGGACCCTGAGATCAGCATGCGGGGGCCCTGATATGGGTCTTCCCGCAGGGGTGAGGAGGGCCTTGGACAGCACTGGGCCTCCTGGGGCCCAGACAGGGCCTCATTCAGTACCGGCCTCGGGGTGCGGCGAGGCACTGCCCAGGAGCCAGACTGCGGCTGCCCGGCCCCCGGGGGCCTCCCCCTCCCAGCCTGGCTCCAACTTCTCTGCCCCAGTTCAGATGCCAGGTTCAAGGCAGCCATTCAGCTCGGGAGCTGCTGGCTTCACAAAGGGGCCTTCGTCTCTGTCCCCCTGCTGACAGCAAACTTCAGGCTGTGGTTCCTCAGGGCACGAACGCACTTCAGGAAGGGATGTGTGTCCCTCAGGCACAGGCTGGATGCCCCATGCCTGAGATGGCACAGGGGTTCTAGATCACTCCACGGCTGATCTGGCTGAAGCCATCAACCTCCACCCCAGCCACCCTTGCCCAGCCCATCCTCAAGAGGCCAGCCATTCGCCTCAGGGACACCGACCAGGTGCTTGGGACACAGGGTGGGGGTGAGCTGGCAGACAGCACCTGCGGGCAGCCAGACCGGGCTCAGGTCTTTGAGAGCCCTGGAACTCACCGGCTCTCCACTGGGCCCGGCCACTCCAGGGACCCCTTTGGGACCCGGTCTGCCCTAAAAGACACAAGCAACTGCAGCTGGGCCCGTGAGGGATGCCCCTCCCACACCGTCTCAGTCCCTGGTGGGCCGCGGCCCAGTGCCCACCACCTCCCAACACGTGTGCAGGGCTGGGGCAGCTGGGGGGGCCAGTCCCAACTGCCTGCCAACTGGGACCCATCCTAGGGTCCTGGGGACACTGCAGCATCCGAGGCCACCTCACAGACCTCTGGCCCCCTGGCTCAGTCCAGGGGAGGACCAGGCTGGTGTGGGGGTGTCCGCAGCAAAGTGCCGTGGGGGGCAGTCCCTTGGCTGCCCGGCCTCCCTGGTCTCACGGAGGCTCGCTTGCTGCACCGAGCCATCTCCTGCTGCCCCTCACCACAGCACAGCATCCTTGGCTCAAGGGACGGGTCGGCTGCCCAGGGCCTTGCACGGATGTGTGTCAGTGCCCAGGACGCACCCCCAGGAGTCTGGGCCACAGCTCCTTCCTGGCCGCTTGGAGAGGAGCTTGTCAGACACAGAGCCGCTGAGGGAGTCGGGGTGGGGGCCCTCAGGCTGGACCCAGCACGTGTCCGTGGCTCACTGCCCCCCACCCTATGTCCCCTGGCATGTGCCGTCCACGCACCCTCTCCCCCATAGAAGGACCCAGAGAATCGAGGTTCTCTCACTTACAAGGTCACCCTTGGGGCCACGGAACCCCTCTGGGCCCCTCTCGCCTCTGTCCCCCTGAAACGACAAGGGGGAGCAGGGACAGAGTCAGTGACTCGGGAAGGCGGACTGAGGGGCAGCTGGCCGGGGTCAGCCCCAGGAGTGGCCCGGGTGGCAGCCTCATGCCGCTGAGGGGCGCTAACAGCACCTCACTTTATGTCCAGAAAGAGAAAGACGCCACACCTCCCACAGAGGACGGACACCCTTGTAACTCACCTCCATCAGCTACCTGATCGGGTACATCACTAGTACCTGCCCAGCAGTGCCCTCCCATGCCAAGGGGTGTGCCCACAGGAAGGACCTGCAGCCCAGTGGGGCTGGGCAGGTGACCGAGGAGGAGGGAAGGGGACAGAGAGTCTAGGACTGCACAGGGCTACCCTCCACCCCCAGACACACACATACCACTTTCCCAGGGGCTCCTGGGATCCCGGGTGGCCCTCGGAATCCAATGGGACCCTGTGAAGGAGAGTGGGGGGTTCATCTGGGGCCTCTTGTCTGATGCCTGGCCAGTATCCCCAGGGACCCAGTTCAGTCTGAGGAGGTCCTGCCTCAAGCACCCATCAAGCATCCCCCCCCAGTTGGCCACTCAGTGGGGCCCAGGCCTCTGCCCCCACATTTGCCAAAGTACCCCTTTCTCTCCTGCACCTGCCCCTCCCATCCCCCTTGGGTCGAAGCCACACAGGCCCAGAGGCAGCCTTGCTGAGGTCACACAGCGCAGCCCAAGCACTCAGGGGGCCATCTGGCCTCTGGAGGTGGCCCCTTACCGCCTGGACTGATCTCCCAAGGGGCTGGCAGACTTACCCGGTCCCCCGGGGGCCCGAGTGGCCCTGGCAGTCCTCGTAGGCCCCGAGGACCCTGTGGGGAGACAGCTGGAGATGCATGGACTGCACCCTCTGGGGGGGGCACTGAGGGGTCCCAGCAGGTGGAGGCTATGACCCCAGACCTGGTAGCCTACCAGGCACCACCCCAGCCCAGTTCCCATTGTGGGTGTTGGTGGACTGGCCCCCAGAGACCTGAGCTGCTCAAGGGACTCCAGCCCTTCATCCTCACCCATGCCCCACCCTCCCTCGACTCACCTGCAGTCCCACAGTGCCTGGGATGCCGGCAGGCCCAGGGGGGCCGGGGTCACCCTACAGTGGAAGTTGAAAGGCAGTGGTCAGCTCTCCCAAACCTTCCCCAGCCGGCCAGTTCCCGTGCAGTGGGGTCCACCCCACTCACAGCTGCACCTCTGAGGTTGTGGGGGCACTGGCCTCCTGCAGAGAGCAGTGCCCCCAGCCTCTGCTGCAGTGAGGCCCCAGCCCTTACTAGACACCTCCTTCTGGCTGGGCTAGGCCTCCTCTGCTGCCCACATGGCAATCTGGCCACTCCTGCTGGGCTGGAGGACACCTGGCCTCACCCGCAGCCTGAGGGTGAGGACAGAAGACACCCCCCACCAGCAGCGGCCATGGGGAGAGAGGGCAGGGACTTCAGGGTTTACTTGGGGCTGAAGCCAGCCCTTCTGGCCACCGGTGGGGCTGGCCCAAGCTCAGAGAGCTTCCCCAGGAGGCCAGGTGGGCGGGGGTCTGCCAGAGGCCCTGCCCCAAACCACTTGGTCTGACCAGTCAGGCCGTGCTGGGGAGGTGTGCAAAGCAGCTGCTTCATCAAGGCGCTCCTTCCCCCGCCCTGCCACCGCCTGAGCCGCAGCCCCGACACCACCCGACTTCACCTTCTCGCCGTCCTTGCCAACTTCTCCTTGCTCCCCTTTGTAGCCGGTGGGTCCCTGAAAGCCAGCGGCGAGTGATATCACAGACCCACTCCTAAGCAGCTTTTAACCCAGGCCTGCAGGGCCTACAGCTCGGGCAGGGAAACTGAAGCCCAAAAAGGAGGGCAGGGCTGGGCCAGGGAAGGGGGTCGGGACCCAATGCCAGCTCTCCCCCTTGCCCTCTCTCTCAATGCCTCCCAGTCCTGGAGGCCAGTGCCCATTGGTCACCAGTGTTGAAGGGGTCAGGGGACGCCACTTGCCCTTTCTTATTGCACCAACCCTGGAACCAGGCCAGGCTTTCTGGACACCCACCTCATATGGGTACCAGGCAGCCTCCTGCAGGGCATGGAGGTGGCTCAGGTCTGGAGTCACTTCTCAAGCATGACTCACCTTGAACCCTGGCATCCCCGGGGGCCCTGGAGGGCCTGGCGGGCAGATGGCCGGGCACTGTTGGAGAACAGAGAGGTCAGACCCCTGCCAGACAAACAGCAACCTGATGGCAGCTCTGAGCAGGACTTGGACCCTGAGATCAGCATGCGGGGGCCCTGATATGGGTCTTCCCGCAGGGGTGAGGAGGGCCTTGGACAGCACTGGGCCTCCTGGGGCCCAGACAGGGCCTCATTCAGTACCGGCCTCGGGGTGCGGCGAGGCGCTGCCCAGGAGCCAGACTGCGGCTGCCCGGCCCCCGGGGGCCTCCCCCTCCCAGCCTGGCTCCAACTTCTCTGCCCCAGTTCAGATGCCAGGTTCAAGGCAGCCATTCAGCTCGGGAGCTGCTGGCTTCACAAAGGGGCCTTCGTCTCTGTCCCCCTGCTGACAGCAAACTTCAGGCTGTGGTTCCTCAGGGCACGAACGCACTTCAGGAAGGGATGTGTGTCCCTCAGGCACAGGCTGGATGCCCCATGCCTGAGATGGCACAGGAGTTCTAGATCACTCCACGGCTGATCTGGCTGAAGCCATCAACCTCCACCCCAGCCACCCTTGCCCAGCCCATCCTCAAGAGGCCAGCCATTCGCCTCAGGGACACCGACCAGGTGCTTGGGACACAGGGTGGGGGTGAGCTGGCAGACAGCACCTGCGGGCAGCCAGACCGGGCTCAGGTCTTTGAGAGCCCAGAACCTCTGCCCCATGGAAGCCAGCCAGCTCGGCCAAACTGTGAACGGCTGCACAGGACAGGGGGACACATTTGGGGTGCCCAGTCACTGTCTTTCTTTTCATACCAGCCATAGGTGCCAAGACTAAGACAAAAGTGAGTCCCGGCTCTAGTGTGGAGGCCTCTGCGCTGGGAACCCCAGGCGGCACGCGCACCGTGTGGCCGGGAGCACTTAATGCAGCTGTGCCAAGAACACTGGATTGTTTAACATTTGATTTTGCTAAACTAAGATTCACTGCCACGTGTGGTCAGGGTGATGGGACAGGGCAGGGCCAGGCCAGTGGCCGAGGTGGGGCAGGGAGGGTGCAGGGGAGGCTGTGGCCGGAGCTGGAGGGCTGTCCCTGCCTTCCTGCAGGGAGGGGACAGGCCATGCCCCACGCAGGTCTAAGATGGTGGATCAGCCAGAGCCCCCTCCCACCAAGATCAGCACCCCCAGCCCCCTTCTCAGTGACGGTAAGTGCCCACCTGAAGGTCAGCAGCGCCTTCGGGGAGGACCCCTGGGTGACCCTGAAACACAGAGACAGCTGACTTTGACCTGCCCACCTGCCCTTCCCCTCCCACCACTCCAGGACCTCCAGGGGTCTCGGCCCCCAGAGTGGCCAGGGCTGCTGGGTCAGCTGCAGGGCACGTAACAATGACAGAAGCCACCCGCCCTTGGGGCCGGGTGGCTGCCAGTCCTGAGCCCTGCCTATGCCCAAGTCAGTGGACCCAGCCACTGCTTCAGCCCCACTTAGCCGGCATCCGGGGAATGCCTAGGAATCTCCACACAGGCACGGGTCCTGGGGCGGGAGGCCCTGAAGACAAGGAGCCTGGAGACAGGACTCAGGCCCACCACACAGTTATCCGTGCCTGGCACCTCCCCCGAGAAGCTCTGGAGCCCTGTGCCCACAGTACTTACAGGGGGTCCAGGAGGTCCCGGTGGGCCAGGAAGGCCTGGGAGTCCCGAGGGTCCCTGGGGAGAATGATGTCTTAGATGGGGCAGGTCCAGCCCCCACCTGGCCGGCTGCTTCTGAGGCCTCCCTGTCCCACTGGGCCCTGTGGGCACTCTCCCAGGTCCAAACGCCCCCGCCCTCCACTGACACCCTGGCCCTGGCTTTGAGCTAGTGGACTCCAGGTGTCCCAAGGTCGGGCCTGACCCTGGGTATCAGCCAGGGCTTCCTCCATCAAGGTCCACCGAGAAGGAAGGGGGAGAAAAGGTGGAGGGGAAGCTCCTGGCAGCTGACCTGGGGGCAGCCTGGCAGGCGGGGCACCTGCTCCAAGCCTTGGGGGAAGGTCTGGGGCAGCCACTCACCGGAGGGCCCCGGAGGCCGATTCCACCTGGGAGGCCACTCACCCCTGCCTCGCCCTGGGGAGGTAAAGAAGTGAGGAATGGGGGTCTGCCCCCAGGGAGCTCTGAGCACCCCCTCTTGTGGCCTCCCCAACCCTGTGGTTCGGGCAGCCGGGGCGGCTCTGGGCATGGCAGGCATGCCTGGGTGGGGGCTGCAAGGGCTGTTGGTACTCACGGGGGGTCCGGGCAGGCCTTTGCCCTACAAAGCCAAGCATGGGGTCAGAACTTTCTGGGCACAGGACAGGTGTGCCCACCACCCCTCCCCCTAAGATGGTCAGGTGGGCTGCTGGGAGAAAGTACACACGGGGATGAGACCCCCACCCAACCCCGGAGACAGAGCACAGCTCAAATATGCCCCAGGACCCTGCCCAGGGACCAGCCCCACAGAGGGCAACAGGGAGGGCCAGGCACGGCCCTGGTCAGGCCCTCTGGCTCCTCGAACGCCCCCTGGGAGCCAAGGCAGTACTCACCCCCAGCCCGGGCGGCCCAGCAGGGCCCAGACTTCCCTGCAGGAGGAAACCAGGCGTCGGGGATGGCAGGACCCAGGCCCCCTGCCTGTTTGCAAGCCCTCCCTCCTCCCTCCCAAGTTCATCCTAGTGCCCCTCTGAGGAGGGTCCCCGTGTTACACAAGGCCAGGGGCAGGGGGCGGGGGCCCTGATGCCCAGTGGCCAGGGCAGGTCCTTTGCCAAAAGCCCTGCTGAGGAGAAGCCGGACCTGTTGAAAACAACTGTGGGAACAAGCACAGCACAGGCCAGACGGGCCACCGGGGAGGCCCGGCACAAGGGCCGGCCTGAGCCACACAGAAGTGCCCCATGCCTGTCTCCTCTGGGAAGCCCTCAGTGCACTCACCTCAGACAGAGGCCACTGAGACCCCGGCCCACAGCAGGCAGCCCAGAGTCCTGGGCGGCCAGGGCCCGCTGCCCCCCCCCCCCCGTCCTGTCACTACCCTGCCTCCAGAAGACAGGGTCCTTGCACTGCAGGCCCCTCCCCTCCCCTGTCCCCCTGCCAGAGGCTCCCTGCGGAAAGACCAGAGCCAGCGTGCCCTCCACCCCTGCCGAGGTCCTGCCGGCCACCACAGCCACCCCACCCTGTTCCCAACTCCGAGCATTCCCTCGGCCGAGCTGCCAAAGGCAGGCTGTGTCCTCGCATCCCCACCTGGCCCCGCCCCTCACGCCAGGCCTCGGGGACTCACTTCTCCACAAGGGTTGCCCTTGGAGAAAGCCCTCCTTAGGGGGCACTGGGCAATCAGGAAGGGGGTATAAGTGGATGATGGCCAGACTTGAGGGGTGGCCTAGGTGACCTCGGGCCCCTCAGGAAGGCACACAGAGGGGGCACCATGTGGGCTGGCCACTCGCCACCCTGTGCCCACCTGAGCTCCAGCCCCCTCCACCCACTGCAGGGGCAGGGCCCTCAGAACCACTAGCCCCATGACTCTGTGGATGAAGGGTGCTTAGACTGGCCACCCCTGGCCAGGGACCTCGCCCCTAAACTGAAGGCATGGATGTGATATAGGCACTTACCCGTTCTCCAGGGGCGCCTCTGGGTCCAGGGGGTCCATCCCCCCCGGTTAGACCCTGGGGAGGCAGGCAGAGGGAGGGCTTGAGGGGTCACATGAGAAGGATGTGCCCCCGCCAGGGCCCTTCCCTAACTAACACAGTCCCGAGAGGCCGGAAAGACCCTCAGGTGTGCACCTTCCTCTCCTGGCCCCATGCACATCCACTTGGTGTTCCCAGGGGCTCCGGGGCAGCCTGGACAGGCCAGCAGCAGGAGCACTGCTGCAGCTGGTGACCCAGCAGAGAGCCGACTTCTCAGACCCCCTCTAGTCCTCACAAAGCCCAGGTCGTCTGGAACCAGGCCTTGAGTCTGAGGACTGGTACAGTCAGCCTGGAGTTTGGTGGGGCCTGGATAATGGGTGTTTGTTCCCAGATAAGCAAGGGCTGGGAGACTTTCACCTCTGGGGGCTGGCTCTGTCCTCTGCCAGCCCCCAGGGCCAGATGCTAAGGGCCTGGGAGGAAGGCCAAGGACCCTGCTGGGGGATGTCCGGAGACACTCTTAGGACTGGGTTTCCTGCTTGGACAGGCCCAGCTGGAGAACAGCAATGAAACCTGATGCCTGGGCACTGGGCTGGAACCCCTCCAGGCCTGCAGGGGAGTTGGGGGCTCATGGGGTGGGGGAGGGAGGGGCTCAAGGGGGGCAGGGCCTGAAGGGCCCCCAGGGAGGAGCAGGCATACTCACGTCCACGCCAGGCAGTCCAGGCAGTCCTGCCTCTCCTGGGTTCCCGGGCTTCCCTGGGGCCCCTTTCAGTCCCTGTGGGGTGGGGGGCAGAGGCATGAGCAGAGCCCTGGCATGGAGCCCTGGCCTTCCCCAAGGGAACAAGCGCTTCCCAGGGAGGGCACCACCCGGCAGTGAGTTGGGCGCCTCGCGCCAGAGCCTTGGCCCTGCCTGCTCCCCTGCAGACTCTGCCCCCGCTGGGCCTGTGGGTCCCCCTAGATCCCCACCCTGCTGGCCTCAAGAGGGCTGCTCTTCCCAGCCGAGCCCCTCAGTGGGATGTATCTGTCGCCCCAGTGAAGGGCTGGCAGGCCCCACAGTGGGGCCCCCAGTGAGCCCCAGGACCCTCACTTCCTGGGCCTAAGCCACTCTGGCCATGCAGGGTTGTACAGACCCCTCCCCACGTGCCCAGGCACTGGCTCGGAGAAGGTGTAAAGCCAGGCCAGGCCCAGAGACACCCGCCCCGCCCACTCCCGTCCCACTCCTTCCTGGCGCACCACCGCTCCAAGCCCTCTGAAGCCTCCCCTCGGGTGACCCAGGGCAAAGCATGGCGGGAAGGGGTGTCAATGACCCCTCTGTTCCAGGTCTCCCCACTGCAGACTGACAGGGATACTCACCGGGGGCCCAGGCAGACCCGGAGGACCAGCTTCCCCCTGCAGAGGGGGAGACACCCACATGTGCAAGCATCCCCTGAGCGCCCTGCCCCGAAGGCCCCAGGGCACAAGACAGGAGCCCCTTACCCCCTGCCCACCCCTCAGAGAACCTTCTCTAAGACGCCGAGGAGGCGCTGTGGAGGGGTGAGCTGGCAGACTGGGGCTCAGCCCCTGCAAGACCCACACACCTTTTGGGGCCCACTTTGAGGGCATGGGGACAACCTCCCCCCGCCCCCAAGAAATGAAGGGAACATATCATGAAGCCCCACCCTCCATTGGTCTGAAAATCTCCAGAAAGTGGGCTTCATGCTGAGAGGCCTCTAGTTCCATCGGGTCAGAGCAGCAGCACCCCAACACACAGAGGCTGCGGAAGGCACCCCAGGTCCCCCACCCCCACGAGGCCTGAAGCCCTTTGAGGGAGCTTCCAGGACAGGCTTTAGGTCGTAGCTCTCCCAGAAAGACGGGCTCTGCTTGGCTTCTCCTGGCTCCCAGCAGCACAGGGGCCCCAGGGTGCCAGGGGCCCAGCTGGGAGAGGGGAGGGGCATGCGCGGCCACCTGGCTCCAGCCTCCCCCCACCCCTCTCAGCTGTTGCTGAGACCGCTGGTCTGGGGGAGGCTCAGGCCATCGAGGGCCAGGCAGGGCCTTGGGGACTCAGAGAGAGGCTGAGGACTGGCCGCAGGGGCTCCACCTGGGAACAACACAGGTGGGGAGAGCCCGCCTTTGGGGGCTGCAAGGGGGTTTCGCCCGGACAGTCCCAGGGGAGGGTAGGCTGCAGGATTCCAGCTGCCTCCCCGAGCTTCTCGGGCTGCCCTTCGCCTGGGGCACGCATGGAGGGTGCCATCTCTGGGACAGAGCTGGTCCCCAACACCCTCCCCAAGGCTGGCTCCAGCCTCTGGCAGCCCCCAGCAAGACCCACCCAGAGGGACAGGCCCTGCACCTCCACCCGGAGACCCCAGGAAACAGGGTCACAAGCACCTCCAGGGACCCAGACACACGCAGCTCAGTGCCCACATTTCCATTCCAAAGACCTCCATGTGGCCCCCCACCTGCTCTGGGGATGCAGTCTCTGTGGGGTGCACCCCAGCAGAACAGAACTGTCTTTGTTTCTCACCCCACAAAGGGGCTGGCCTATCGCCCCAACATCACCCCAGCCCTAGGGGGTAGGACTTAGCTTTTGTCTCCATCAAGTCTGGGAGCTCAGGGAGGTTGGAGCCAGAAAGAGAGCCCTACAGGAACCCCCACCCTTCCCGCTCCACCAACTCACATCGATGCCATCCTTGCCTGGCTTCCCAGGTGGCCCCGGGGGGCCAGGGGGGCCCCGAGGTCCCACTTTCTGAAATGGAGAAATGTCATTAGGCGGTGTCCTCCCACCCTCTCCCATGCGGTGGGTCCCCCTGGTGGCACTCGGGCCAGCAGGAAAGAGCACCCCCTCTTCCTGGGTCCTGAGCAGCCCTGGGGCCTGCCACAGGGGCTCACGATGCCACCCCCCAGACCCCCAGAGCCTTTGGCCCAAGCAGTTAGGCCAGGTGGGGCTGTGCCTGCCCTGCAGGGAGTTGCGGGGAACAAAGGCGACCTTGTGCGCATCCCCGGTGGGCGCTGCAGTGCTGGCGGTGGGCTGAGGCCCCGTGGGGACAGGGCTGCCCCCTGGGCTCATCCCCGAGGTGTCCTGGTTTCCACGGGGGCTCAGCCGGCGATCAGCACCCCGCACCCCAAGGGAAGGCAGGTTATGGGTCAAGGCGGTTCCCAGGCACCCCCTGGCCCTGGGGGTGAGGGGCTGCTGCCCCCTGGCTGTGCCACTCCACGCCTACCTCAGAGCCCCGGACCCCTGCCCGGGGCTGCCGACCTCCCCTGCCAACGCAGCGCGCCCTGCGCTGGCTCACCTGCGCCTTGGTTGCCGTCGTGGCCAGCAGCTGCCCGAGCAGCAGCAGGACCAGGGTGGGGGCTCCGGCCATGGCTGCAGTCGCACTCTGAGCGCACCGCGGCGCAGCGGCGCGGTGGGCAGGCAGGCGGGGCAGGGGGCGGGTGGACGCCAGGTCCCGCCCTGGCGGCGGCAGCACAAGCCCCCCATTCAGCCGGGCCCACCTGGGCAGGCGGGGGCTTCCGCACCGCCCGGCGCCTCCCTGCTGAGCCGGCCAGGGGGAAAAAAGAAACCCAGTGGCATTTTTTGGCCAGCCTCTGAGTTAAAATTATCCTGGCTCTGAGCACTTGCACACAGACACCTTTTAGCAAAAAAGAAAGACACTCTTTTCTCCCCCTGCTCCTCAGCCAGGGTGTGGGGAGGGGAAGAACCCGCACGGATGGCTCCCTGGGAGCAGGGGCAGCTGTGGGCGTGCAGGCAGGGTGCGGAGGCTGAGAGCCCCATCCCAGCCCGTGAGCAGGCCTGGAAAGACCCCCATGAGGGCAAGCACCCCCGTGCCAGGCCTCCACAGGGCCCACCAAGCCCCCGCTCCTGTGCAGGCCCTGCCTTTATCCATTGAAGTCGAGTTAAACTTCCAGCAAACTGAGGGGTCCCACGCGTCAACCCTCACTGGCAAAGGCCTCTCCCGCTCGGCAGCCCCCAGCCCCGCAGAAGCAGAGTGGTGGCCTGGCCAGGAGGAAGCTCCGCACGACCCTGGGGTCCGAGGGCACGGGACGGCCTGAACCCCGAGGCTGGCATCAGCTGCTCCCGTTCCTCACAAGCTTTGGGCAGCTCAGGGTGGCCAGAGTCAGGCAAGCTCTGCTTCACCTGGGAGGGCACGGGAGCGGCAGGAGGGCCGGCAGCTGGGGCCAGGAGGCCCCCATGGCCACCAGAGAGGACCCTCGGACGTCCAGGTCACTCACAGGCCCCGTGGATGCATGGAGCCTAGCTCCACCCCGGTATCTGAATCCCGGTTTATCTGCACGTGCTCCTCTCTGGGAAATGCTGTTGCAGGATTTACAGTCAGTGTGCTGTGCAAACTTCACTTCTGCAGCTGGGAACTCAGGACTTTGTACACGGGAGGAAGGGCACAGTGGGGGGCAGGGGGCGGTGTAACAGGGCGAGTCTCACGTCACTGTTGGTCAGGCTGTGACTGGCTCCTCCAGGCGGCCACGCTCATGGGGGTGTGAACTGCATCAGGCCGGGCGAGAGCAGCCCTGAGCTCCTGGCTTCCAGCAGTCCGGGTCACCCCAGCACGTCCCTGGGGACCGCAGGGCAGGGCTGTGGGGCGAGCCCAGGCCTGGGAGCTAGCCTGCGTCTCCCCGCCAGCTCTCCCCCTGGTCCTCCGGCCTCCCCCAGGCCCCCAGCCCTGCTCCGCCCACCTGCCCCTGCTGCACCAGGCTTCAGAGGAAGCCCAGTTGGCCTTCCCCGGGGCAGGGAGCACCTGGCGTCAGGACCGCTGCTGGTCCTACCTCTCCTGGGCCCAAGCAGCTGCCACAGCCCAGGTTTGGGGGCCAGGGCCAGCCTCACACCCACCTGGCAGTCTGCTGTCAATGGCCAGAACCAAAGCAGTGCCCACCTGCTTCAGCTGTCACTGTCCCTGGAGCCTGGGGGGCAGGTGGGCCCGAGCTGCCTGCCTGTCCCCAGGTCCCTACAGCTGGGCACAGGCCCCTCCCCGAGGCCTTTGCCAAGGGGATTGTCCACTCACTTCAGGCTTCACCTGAACTTGAGCCCTATGGTGGTCTTGGCTGAGGACCCTGACCACTGGGGGTCAGTGGGATCCTGTGGGAGAGACTCAGTGTTGATTCCCCAGACCCAGATCAGTGCCTCGGTTTCCCCTCCATGGTAGAAACCCCATCACTGAGCCGAAATCCAGTGCAGGCATCCGGGGTCCCACTCCTAGCAGACCAGGGGTGGGGAGCTGTGGGGAGGGGAGTCAGCAGGGAAGGACAGCCCCCCTCCCTCCCCAGCCCCAGTCCTGGAGAAAGGAAACTCCAGGTCTCTCCCTCCAGGACCTGCAGCTGGCCCGTCAGCCCTCCCCGCGGCACAGGGGCTGACCTTCGGTGCGCTCCATGGAAGTGGGACTGGATCCCAGCGACGGCGGCGCCCTCCCCGCCCCTGAGTTGTGATCGCCATCACTCATCTGTTCAAAGGCAAGCATGGGGCCCTATGCCGTCTCCTCACCCTGTTGACTCTGATGAGAAACGCTGATGTCAGGAAGGAGGGGTCCTGGCCCAGGGGGACAAAGCCAGGCTGTGAGCCAAGCATGCCCTGTGCCCATGGAGGGGCCTCCTGTGGGAAGGAGGCTGCGGCCACGCCAGGTGGAGGGGCCCAGGGGGTCCTGGGAAGGCTGTGCCTTAGTGCAGAGGTGAACCGGGGGTGCTGTGGCTATCAGGGCAGGGACAGAGGGGACAAAGCTGCAGACTGCTGCTGAACTTGCTCCCCGAAGCACATCAGCACACCCCAGATCAGGGCAGGAGGCCTGGTCCAGACTGGGGCACACCCAGACACAGCCCCTGCCCCCCAGCAGCCTTGAACTGCTGACACAGGCAGCCACAGGACTGACTGCTGGGCCCGCGGCTCTGGGACGCTGTGGCCAGGGTGCCCTGGGGGTGGGCAGGGCTGCCCCCTGCTGTGCCCCCAAGGTGCTGCCATGGGCAAAGCGGAACCACAGTGGGCCCTGGCTGCTCTGCACCCAGGGGAGGAGTCCAGAGAGCAGCAACAGCCCTGAACCCAGACCCTGCAAGCCCACCATCCACGCGCAAACCAAAGTCAAATGAATTTATTCAGAAAAGGTCTCAGCACCAGACTGAGAAAAGGACCCCCGTCCCAGCCCCAGACCCTTAAGGGCCAATTCACAGGGGGGCATGGCACAGAGGGGGAGGTGGGACACGAGGTTGCCACAGGAAGGGCGGTAGTCCTGGCTGTCCCTGAGGGTGGGGCCTGCCTTCCCAGGGCTGCGTGACCAGCAGGGAGCCCAGTGGGCTTGGCTCCCAGAGCTCAGGTGCCCCTCTCACGGCTTCTCGGGTCTGGCAGAAGGCTCCGCCTCAGCCCTCTGGTCTGCTGGGGGCCCTGCGGCGGCTGGGCTCCGGGGGGCTCCCTGCTCCGGCTCCACCTGGCCGTCTGCCTCCTCTGGGGCCCCATTCTCGCCTTCTCCGGCTGTGGGGCGCTCTGATGAGGCGGGGCTGGGCATCCGGGCACTGCTGCCAGCTGACACCGCAGGGCCGTCCTCGGCTCCCTGGTCCACCTTCCTCCGCTTCCTCACCTCCTCTGCCCCCTTGGGCCCCAAGGGCCGGGGGCAGGGCTGCTCGGGCTCTCCTGGGTCCTGGCTGCCCATTTCCTGGGTCCCGGAACCAGCGCCGCCCTGGCTGAGGGCGCAGCCCTCCAGGTTCAAGGCGATCGTCTCCACCTCCGACGCGCTCTGGGGGCGGGGCTCCCCGGGGGCCTGCTGCCGCTGCCGGTTCGCCTCCAGCTTCCTCTTCTTGCTCTCCTTGGGGCTCAGGGGTGCCGGCCCCTCCTCCCCGAGGCCCCAGGCCTCCTCCCCCTGGTCCTTCAGGCCTCCTGCCTCCGGGGGCTCCACGGCCGCACTGTCTCTGGCTTCGGCAGGCCCACAGGCATGACCCTGGGCACCAGCCTCGACGAGGGGGTCCCCGCCACGCTCCTCCCCCTCGGCCTCCCTGGGACCCACCAGCAGGGGTGGACGGAGCGGCGAGCGTGGCCTGAGCCTCCGCAGCTTGTCGTGCGGCCCCCACACGAACTTGCACCGCGGACGGAAGTGCTCCCAGGCGAAGCGCAGCAGCTCGCGGCGCCCGTGCCGGCAGCGCACAGTAAACACGAAGTAGTCCAGCGCGCTCTGCCGCACGCCAGGCAGCTCCTGGCGCACCAGCGTCTCCTCAAGAAAGAAGCGCACCAGCGGCACCTGGAAGTGCTCCAGGCCCAGCTCGCCCAGCGACTTGAGGATGCGCGTGATGCGAAGGTTGTTGTGGCCATGTCTGCGGGTGGAGGGGCGGCTGCATGAGCGCCTCTAGGAGCCCAGCATCTACCGGCAGGGACACGCAGGCCCCATGTCCATCCCCATCTGCTCACTAGCCCCCGCCTCACCCCAGCTCCCAAGGAAATGGCCCACGAGCCTGGATAGCATGGGTGAGGGGCAGTGGCGCCCCTCTAGAAGGGTGACTGTCCTCTCGGCAACCGGACACCCTCCCAGGCATAGCTGGAGGCGGGCCAGAGGACAACCCTCTAGGACAGGGACCAGGCATGGTCCCTGAAAAGCTGCTGGGCCCTGCCGGCTGACCCACACCCTGCAGGCTGGGGGGCCACAGCCAAGATGCCAGACTGACCAGCACAACTTCCTTTAGGTCCCCATGCCCCAGCAGGTCGGCCCCGACCCTGCCGGCGAGGGGCTCCGTCACTTGCCCAAGTGCCCCCCACACCTGTCCTGACCAGCACCCGGCTGGAGGCTGTGGGGCGGCCTCACCGGTTGAGGTTCTGGAAGCGCTTCTGGTAGTTCTGGGCTCGGCACACCCTGCCCGTGTCTCGGTCCTCGAGCTGGATCCCGTAGAAGCCCAGCATGAGCTCATAGGCCTGGACAAGCCGCTCCCTGACCTCCGTGGAGCTCTTAAATGCCTGGAGGAAAGCCCCATGGACAGGGAGCTCAGGGGTCATGTGACAGTCATCAGGTGGGGTGACAGGGTGAAGGGGCGCAGAGACGCTCTGTCACTGACGGCTGCACGGGTCTCACCGGGCCGAGGCGGCAGCTTCAGGCCTGGGGGAGCTGAGGGCCACGGGAGGGGCTCGTGGTTCTCCCAGGCTGGACACACATGCTGTGTCCCAGGCACACCTCCTGCAAGTGCTCCTCGGCCCCCCAGGGCCTCTCTCCCTCCCGGGGGGCCCCACTCTAGCCCAGACCGAGGCAGAACCCCACTGTGATCCTGCTCACAGCCCCTGCCCTGGACTCCCTGGCTTGGGAGACCCCCCCGATCAGATCTCTCTAGAAGCTTGTCAGGGGCACCAGGGTGGGGACAGTTTGGAGGGAGCATGACAGCTCCTGCCCTCCCAGCCTTGGCGCTCACCTCGACCTCCCGGAGAGTGAGGGGCTTGGCATGCCAGTTCACTCCTGGCTCCCGAAGAGGAAACAGCCTTTGGGAGAAGAGACAGCACAGGCTCCGTCAGAGGCAGGCGTCGGGCACATGCCAGCTGGGCAGCTTCTCTGGCCTCACCACTCAACTCCAGGACGGACCGGCCAGGCCAACACATGCCTTGGGCTCGGGATTCCAAGTCAATGAAGCCAAGGGGCAAGCCGGGTAGAGCTCTGGGGGGGACGTCATAGGCCAGCACACAGGACAGGTGGGCGTGCAGTGCACACGCTCAGAGGTGAGGCTGGCCTGCCGGCCATTCCCCACGGCAGCCCGGGCTCTCTTTAGTCTTACGTTTTCTTGCCTGTCACTAATGCTGAATTATGCCCTGTGACACCCTGCACCCAGGAAAGGGCCCCTGCAAGCCTCAACAGCACTGCGCTTGCAGGGCAATGTCAAGGGTCACTGCTAAGGGTCACCTCAGCCACTGTTAGAATACTGCCACCCCACATGTCAGAGGGACTCCAAGGGACATGCAAGCCCCAGCTGCCCTTGGGGTCCACAGGACACACCCTCGCTGCCTGCAAGCTGGCACATCTGCAGCCCTTCCTGATCCCCACGTCCAGCTTCAGCTTTCAGCCAGTTTACTGAACCCACAGACTGTGGGTCAGCAGTGTTCCCTCAACCACCTGGGCCCCGCATGGCCTGCAAAGAGTCCAAAGTGCGCCTCCAGAAAGGAAGTGCCCGCTCAGTGAGCACCAGGACCCGGGTGCTCCGGCCCCCTGCCGGCGCCCCACCCTCCAGTCCCGCCCACTCACCACTGGATGTAGGAGTGATTGTCCTCCAGGAGGTCATAGTCCCCCCTCCAGTTGCGAAGAATATCCTCAATGAAACAGCCTAGGAGCCCCACGGGGAGGTCAGCATGGGGCAGGGGTGGCCTTCCCCTCCCCTTCCCCCCACCCCCTCCCCGGAGGAGCCAGGGCTAGGCAGCTCCGGGTTGTGCACAGCTCATAACTTCAACCCCCCAACTGCAGACCCCACTGCCGACCCGAGCAGAAGCGCACGCTGGGCAGGAGGCCGGGGGTGCCTCAGGACAGTGGTCCCAGACGGCACCTGTCCTTGCAGGAGGGTAGCCTGCCAGCTGATCAGAGCTGCAGCGAGGCCCACCCCGCGGCCTGCCTCCCGCAGGTGGCTGCTCAGTCGGCTGAGCCTGACGGCGCGGCAGCTGACACTCCACCCTGGCAGGTAGGCAGCCACACGCAGCGCGCACGCGGACCGGGGGCTGGGCTCCCACGAAACTTCCCTCACGGACGCTAAAATCTGAATTTCGTATCATTTTCATATGAAACAAAGTATTATTCTACCTTAAACTTTTTCCAACCATCTAAAAACAGGAAAACCATTCTCACTCCTCAGTTCACCTGCGCAGCTTCCCCCAGGGCAGCAGAGACCAGGGCCTGAGCCGCCTTCAGTGCCCTCAGCAGCCTCCAGGAGGCGCCATGGGGCTGCCTGAGCGACAGGCCCCCTGAGGGAGGCGTCCCGAACAGGCTCCAGGGCCACCCTCTGCTGGGAGCTGCGGGCGGCAGGCGGTACACACCGTTCGGCAGGAACTGGATCTTGTTTCTGTAGAATCTCAGGTTTGGCATGTCACCACTGCTGTCTTGTTCTACCAAGTCCTGAAGAGCCAGAGGGGGCACGGATCATCCCTGGAAACAGGCTACCTCGGAGGGGCCCTCAGGCTAGAGTGTTCCTCGGGGCGGGAGCGGCCGCTCTTGGCCCAAAGACCTCCAGATGTCCTGAGGGCCAGTGAAGACCCCGAGTGCCCAGCTGGGGCCCCTCTTCTGCAGGCTCTGTGCTGGAGGGCAGCAGCCACTGCTGACCACCACCCTCCTCACCAGTGTGGGCCAGGGCCGCAGTCCCCTTCCTCTGCACCCCAAAGGCAGCCCAGGGGGTGAGCATGGCACAGCCTCCCACAGACATGACCCCAGCTGGCACTACTTCTAAGTTTTGCGGGCAGGAACACTGAGGTTCAGAGGTTGGGGGCCGCATGCATCACCCTGTGATTAGGGGATGGAGCAGCAAGCCCAGGCAGGGTTTCCGGCAGGATGCGGGACGCTGTCTAAACAGAGGGACACACTGCCCACCTGGCCTTTCCTGGGCAGAGGGTAAGGGTGCTGCCCCACGTGTGTGAGGGCGCCGCAGGCAGCTACCTACCGGGTAGTGGTGCCGGTACCTGCGTGTGTCCCGCACGGCTCGCCAGTTTCGGGCCCCCGTCATCCTGGACTAGGAAGAGAAGAGATGGGATGAGACTTCTGGGTAGATCCTCCCCATTCCTGGAGGCAGTCTACCAGGCAGGTCCCATCCCCAGCAAGACCCCATCTGGCGAGGGCAGCAAGAACCCGGGCCAGCTGTCAACCACACCACAGGGGCCGGGAGGGCTGGAGCTCAGCCCCTGCCACCCACTCCAGCTCTCAGGACCCCTGACCAGCAGGCACATTGCTTCACTTCCTCCTTCCATGTTTGGTGGCTACCCCCACTTGGACTGTAGCCCCAGGACCTGCCCTCGGCACCTTCATCTTCCCCAGGGCTCTCCGTGTTGTGCTCTAAGTTGTCACTAGGCTTGTGTCCCCAAGGGCAGTGGCCTCACCGCCTGCGGCCCTACGAGGGGCCCCAGAGGCTTGTCACAGGGTCTAAGGAATAAATGACCAAGGCCCAGGGAGCCAGTCCGGGCCTGCCCAATCCCACCCACTCATCGACCGGACCCCACGTCCCCTGGCCTCCAGCCCCACTGTGGGGGACTTCTCAGCAAGATGCCAGAGGCTCGCTGCTGCCCCCAACCTCTGCATCCTTTGTCTCTGCAAGCCAAGTACCCTGGGGTCCTTGGAAGGATGGTGACCAGAATGCTGGGTAAATGCAGAAGGTCCCACCTTCTTACAAGACGGGGGGCAAGGGGTGGGGCCGAGCCCAGCCTGGGGTCCAAGGCTGAGAGGAGGAAGGGCCCCGGCGGATATAGCCCCTGGGTGTGACAGGTGGGGACAGCTCATCTCAGGGGCACACCTAGGTCCCAGGATCCTGGAAGGAGCAAAGGGACCCTGGAAGGGGGTTCAGGAGGCCAGGCCCGCTGCTGGGTCCCCTGGCTCTGGCCCCATCCCCACCCAAGATGCTCTAAATGGTTCTGAGCTCCAGCCACCATCTGTGGCTGCCCCTCTGCCCGATTTCTAAACCAGGGCCAACTGCTTCTTGACTACGAGCCAGTGGCCAGCAGATGAAACGGAAACTCACAGAAGCTGGCCCTACCCCTCTGTCAGCTTCTGCTTCTCTTCCTTCCTGGGGTCATGTGCCTCCCCAGGGTGGCTCAGGAGGACAGGTCGTGACCAGACAAGGGCCCTGCACACGGCTCAGGGTAAGGCCGGCCCCACTAGTGCACATCTGACCCAGCCCAGGGCAGCTGGGAGAGCCACGGGGTTCTGGGAGGAAGGTGAGGACTCCGCGGCAGGACAGAAGCCACAGCGGGAGGGAGATGGAGAGGGGGTCCAGGGGTCGCAGGCATCTCGGTCAGTCATGGCGCTGGCCCACCGCTGCAGAAGCGTGGCCCGCGGAGCTGTGGCGAGGGGAGCATCCTCTCACCTAATCCACACAGCGAAGAACCCGACTCCTGCCCCGCACGCCAGCCTGTTACCGAGACCACTGCCCGGCCTGCCTCCCGAAGACTCGTGCCCGCCTGAGACACTAGAGGTGCTGAGGCTGCTGGCCTCCCAGGCAGGCCCAGGGGCCCCTCGGGGCCCCTCGCTGACGCCTGGACACAGAGAGGTACACCTGAACACCGGAGCTCCATCCGCAACGGGGAGAATCCACTCCAGAGACCACACAGGTTGGAACTCAAGACTTCCTAGACATGGTGCCGAGACACCTGCAAGGCACCCACACGGGGTGGAAGGCGGCACCCAGCAAATGCTAGCAAGAAACCGCTGGTCCTTGGAAAAGTAGCTAGTGGTAACAAGTAACCGTTACTGGTAAAAGCAACCTGCTGCTTACAATCAACTGCAACAAAGTAATGGCTGCTAATGACAAGTACCCAGCGGTACAGGAGAGGCATGGCGGTGATCACAAGTAACGAGTGACCAATGGGCACCACCGCAGCCTCTGCTCAGACACGGCACGCAAACGCAGACCCCAAGGCCCTTCCCAGGTGGCCGAGGTCGGCCCCAGGTGCGTGGGGGGGGGCTCTGCACCCCCTGAGGGGCAGCAGGGGGCCTGGGCGCGGTGAGGCAGGGTGGGGTGCTCCCTCAGTGCCCGGAGCCCCACAGAGGGCGGAGATCTATTTAGAGACAGAGTCTAGGGCCTGGAGGTGGGCGTTACGGTCAGGCCTGGGGCCTCTGCGGGGCCCCCTGGCCGGGCCAGAGCTGGGGCTCAGGCCGGGGCAGACCTCAGGGTGTCGCGGGTACCGCCGGGAGGACGGGGGTCGAGAAGAGGGCAACAGCCGCACTGGGGGAGCCCGGCCCGAGCCGGGTGTCCGGGAGCTGCCCCCGCCCGGGCCCCCGGGGACGGCTCTCCCCGGAGCAGGGCCTCGCCCCCCACCCACCGCGGCCGGGAGAGGCCCCCGGGTCGGGGCCGGGGCTGCACCTGGGGGGCGCCGGGCCGCTCCGCCCGCTCGTCCGCGTCTTGGTCCTCGTCCTCCGCGCCCCCCGGGGCGCCGGCCTCGCCGTCGTCGCTGCCCGCGGAGCTCGGGCCCTGGCCGTCCCCCTCCGCGTCCTCCTCCCAGGTCGAGTCGCAGTCGGGGTCGTCCATGCTGAGCGCCGGCGGGGCCCGCGCAGGGCGGAAGCTCCCGGGCCGGGAGGAAGCGCGGGGGCGGGGCGGGGCGGGGCTGCGCGCCCGCGGGAGGGGAGGCGGGGCGCCTTCCGGAGCGCGCCTCCCCTGCACGAGCCGGGCCAGAGGGTGCCCGTAGGACGCCCGCCCCGGGGCGTCATGCCCCCGGATGCCCCCATTCAATCCCAAGGACAGTGCCCCCCCAAGGGTGCTTCCCCTGGACGTCCCTCAGAAACTGTGCCCCTAGAGAAAATGCCCGCCGAGAGGGTTCCCCATAGAGATGCCCTCAGGAGGATACTCCTTGGAAGTTGTCTCCCCAGAGGACGCCCCAGGATGTCCCCCCATTCCCCCTTGGAGATCCCCCGGGGTAGCCCCCAGGTATTGGCTTGAAGCTATGGTCTCATCAGAGGCTCCTTTGGGGAGTGAGCCACGTGCAGGCCCCCTCAGGTTGTTGGCAGAACTCATCTTCTTGGGGCAGTGGGATGGAGACCCCTGCGTCCCCTTCACTGGCCATTCGCAGCTGGGCAGCTTGCCTCCTCAAGGCCGGGGGAGGGTTTCTTCCCAGCCAGTGGCTGAGTCCGGTAACGTGCCTCACTGTGGGCCTGACCGCCAGCCCAGGCACTTAGGGGAGGCGCCATGCAAAGGCCCCAACCCCAGGAGGCAGAAATGACCGGGGGCAGCCTTGGGCTGTGCAGCACAGGCCCCTCCAGCTCTGTGTCCCTTAGAGGCCCCTGTAGGCTGGGGTAGCTGCCCTCTTGACACTGGCACATCTTGAACACCCGAGAGTCACCTTCAGATGCAAATTCCTGGTGACTGCGGGTCCCCACCTAACATCTGCCTTTGATGTTTCTGCTGAGCAGGCACAGGAGCTCTGGCGAAGCTGGCGAACCGCCGCCTGGAAATGGAAATTTAGAGCGGCCTCCGCAGGTAAAATTCATCTGTAGCTACTATACCACTTTATTGTTTCAAAAATGTTAGCTAAAACCTAAGTGTGGCTTTTAGATTTGGCTGTGAGGGCTCCTGGGGAAGCTGCTTGTGTGGTAACAGCTGCATGAAGGTGGAGAAGGCCACGCCCAACCCCCCAGGACGCTGACTTCCCCCTCACCCTGCACACCGGCCTCGGGCTGCCTGTGCCAGTGGACAGTGACAGCCAAGAGCTGCACAAAACCCTCCAATTCTGGCCATGGGCAAAGCTGGCAGCCTTCCTGGGGGCTGGCTCAGCAGCAACCTTTACTAACTGTCTGGGTGCAGTCTCACATGGCTGGAGCCTGTGCACATGCTGTCCCATTTTCTAAAAGGACAGTGGTGACCCCCCCACAGGCACGGAGCTCTGAGCAGTTCTGTAAATTGTCTGCCATCCATGGCCAGGGTAAGTTTCCTGGGGAGTGAGCTGCTGATGGGTGTCAGGTGGGCCACTTCCTGTTAGTCAGTTGGCAGCTGGCTCTAGAGGCCCCGGCTGTGACACCCCGGAGGATGCACACGCTGATGGGTCCTGGGGCAGCCAGAGAGTTTGGCTGCTCAGAGGGCACTTGGGTGGGCGGGCTCCACTCTCTGCCCCAGAAAAGAGAGGCAAGCATGCAGCACAGGACAATGTCTCGCTTCACTGTTCCAGCCCAGTGTGCCCGCCGTGGATGGGATGGCCTCCCCCACTGCCTACTCTCAGGTTTAGGACACCAGATGCTCTCCGCACCCAAGGAGTCGATCTCAAGGCTTCACCTACCTCCTGCGTCACAGACTCCAGGTACCCAACTGCACCTTCAGCTGGTGTTGTGCAATTTGCACATGGTTCATCTCAGAGGGGTGTTCACCCTTGCAGCTCAAATCCTACTGCAGGAAAAATGGGGGCCCTGTGTGCTGCAGTGCAGGGTTGCCCACTGTGGGCTCAGTGCTCCAGACAGCACCAAGGCTGGGCAAGGGCCACGAGAAGCACCTGCAGTCACCATGGCCCCAGGATGCCATGCCCATGGGTGTGCCCCCACCGGCCAGGCAGGGGGCAGTCCCTGTGCTAGCATAGGTGGCCAGCCTGGACGAGGTCCTGCTCCCGGCTGGGGGTCCTGCACGAGTTCAAGAGGCAGGTTCAAATTAGGGTTGCCTTTTTCCCTCAGGCAAAGCCAGTTGCAGTTGTTACCTGTCCAAGCTTGCCCACCCCCACCCCAGCCTCTCAGGTGCCCCCTGCACCCTGAGTGCCCACCAGGGTCTGGGGCTGGGGCAGAGCAGAGACAGACACCCCTCAAGCATCGAAGGCCTTTGCAGAAAGTAGCAGGGCAGCTGTCAGGCCCAGCTGTCGATGCAGAGCCTCTGTGAAGGTGCAGTCCCAGGCCCACGACGTTTTAATAGTCTTACTGAGTGTGAACCGTGCAACCCATTAGGGGTTTCCCTTTGCTGTGCAGCCATCTTGCACTTCGGCCCCATCCAGCGTCCACATTACGTGTCAGCGTGCACAAGACCCGAGTCACAGACTGGAATCCTAGTCCTATCGGGAGAGGTTAAGTGCCCCAGAAGCCTGTGGATTCCACCTGTGTGGAGCACACAGCCCAGAGCTGGGACTCCTGCAGGGAACCTGAGGCCCTTGAGCCTGAGCGCCCAGGAAGCTCAGGTTGGCCTCAACCCTGCTGAGGTCTGCAGGCCCCAAAGGCTCAAGGCTGTGGGGGCATGACCTGTGCAGGGTGCCCAAGGCTGAGGGCGGCCACCTGTTCATCTGCTGTGATGGGCTTGCCCTGCCCCTCCAGGAAGGCAGCAAAATGTTAAATGACTGAACAAGGCAGGTTCAATTTACTGCCTGGGCTTTTTCAGCGTGTTCTGAGGTCCCTGATCCTGCTGTTGCGGAGGGCTTACCAGAGCCCGGTGAGGTGTGCCCCGGCCCCTCCAGCTCCCTCCCATCACTGTTCTCTGCCAGTTCTGGACTCTCAAGGGTCAGGCTTCTCCCACACATCAGGACCCCAGTGGCAGGACCTGGCACTGAGTGGGGCTGGTGGACACTGCTAGTGAGGTCAGGGGTGCATCCCACACTGGCCCTCGCACTGGCTGTGAGACCCCCTGCTCCCTCCCTCTCAGCTGCACAGAGCCTGCCACCTGCCACAGGTGATGGGGCATCCGGCATGCCTGCACATTTGGAAGTGAGCGTGGTTCCTGTTGTCATGCATCACAAGACCTGATCTCAGTGGCTGCAGCGCTGGTGGCAGGCACATCGGGAAGTGACATCCCAGACTTCGTCCCGGGGGGTGTGGTACTGGTGAGAATGGGGACCTCCCGCTGGAGACCCACCCTGTGGGGCTCTAACCAGCTGGTTTAGCCATGCTGTCTGTCTGCTCTAGCCTCCAGGGCAGGGTGGCAGGTAGGAGACCAGCTGCCAATCAGGTCAGGCGACCTGACACAAGATGCTCTTTCTGTGCCAAGTGCCGTCAGCCCTGTGGGGGACGTGGGACGCAGTGCTCAAGGCCCAACAAGTGATGGTGGGTTTGGTGCAGGGCAACCTCTCCACACACAAGGCTCCTGGCCTCGGCTTGTGGGCTGCAGTGAGTGTGACCTCCTGCTTCCATATGGTGGGGTGGGCTCTGCTGGGCAGACAGGCCGTGTTTCCTTGCGGCTTGTCAATATGAAGAGCCGGGTGGGGATGGCTGGCAGGCGCCGAGCTCCCAGCCACCCAGCAAGGGGCTGCTTGCTCTGTATTTGAAGGGCTTGTCACACTCAACAAAGTAACTCCTCTGGACCTGTTACTTGTATACACATTGTATCCAGTGAACAATTAATAAACCACCTAAGCTTCAGTTAGTAAATCTTGGAAAAGTAACAACTTCCTGTTGTAGAAAGGGTAACTTATTTTGGTATCAAAACCACACACCCCAGGTTGCTTTTCTGTGCTTTAATGCTGCAAACGCAAGGGTATTCCAGTCAGCCCACAGCCCTTTGTCCCCTCCACTCACTCATTTGGTCTGTTTGCAAGTTACTGATAATACAAAAATAACTGCTACGAATTCTCTGTATCTGGCATATAAAAACTGAGCAGAAAGAATTTCAATGGTCATTACCTTAAAACAAAACAGCTCAGAAAAAATGCAACACACGTTTAACTTCTGCAGAATTTTTTTCATATAAAACACTAGTAAAATAGGTTTCTTAAAAATTAAATAGTGAAGTACCAACTAAATTATATACATCATTACAGTACAAATAAACGAGGCCCAGCATCCAGTTCTCGGTTTCTCGGGTGGGGGCGCCACGTGCGACCCGACTTCCTCCCGAGATCACAGCCAGCTTAGGAAGGGCAGCTCACAGACAGACGGGTGGACAGAGGGGAAGTCACCGGGAAGATGAGCGCCCCCCGGAGGCAGAGGGAGAGCAGCGCTTTATTGCTACTGTGGGGCTGCTGGCCGAGCCCCTCAACTCTGCGCCAGGCAGCCCAGACCCACAGGCCCTTGCAGCTTCCAGGGAGCACCGGAGGGGCAGCGGATCAGATGGCAGGGCACCCGTGGGTGTCCAGAGGACAGAGCCTGGATGCACGACTCCAGCTGAGTGCCGACCCTGGCCTCCCAGGCCCCTAGAGCCCCCAGGCTCCGAGGGGCACTGCCCGGTGGCCACGGCGCCGCCCCCCACCCCCACCCCCGCCCACACTCCTCGGCCGCGGCTGTGGGGCCCCTACGTTCGGCGCCGCTTGGCAGCGCTGGGGCTGGAGGGGTTGCTGTTGGCGGTCAGGACCTTGTCGGTGACGCGGCCGCGCTTCCGCTTGTCCAGCCCTTCTCTGGACCCCAAGTCCGAGGAGCTCTTGTCTTTGTCTTTGCTGGACTTTTCTGTTGCTTTCCCCAAGCTTCCTGAAGATGAAAAAACTGGGAGACAAAATCATTTGGCTGAAAACAGAATATACAGAATTTTATTTCATCTTCCTGCTCAGTCATAAAAATCTGTATCTACACACGACACTGAACCCAAAAGGCATCTCCTGAGCTGGGGGCGCCCGTGTGGCCTGAAGAGTGCCCGGTCCCCCTGAGGACTGGCTACTGTGCTGGCCTCGGCACCACACGCTTGGGTGGCAGGCCCCGCCACACCATCCACGCACCTGGCCTGCCAGGAGGACCTGTGGCTCGGCCCCACGCCGTCTTTGCTGCTCGGGTTGTATCCTGAACTGAGACGGCCGGCTCGGGTTTTACTCCAAGCAGAACCCCTGCACTGTGCGCTCTAGTCCGCCTGACTGGACAGTGGTGCCAGACCGCCTGTGGCTCCTTCACGGTGCCGGCCCCGTGCATGACTTCACGCACATCGAGGCTCCTGCTGGAGCAGATGGAAGCTGCCTTCTCAGGAGCCAGACGGAGCAGCCCTGGCTTCTAGCAGACTTACTGTGGGCGGGGGTGCATGGGGCGTCTGCAGGGAGGCCTGCCCGGGAGGCGTGCTATGTCCCCAGGCCCAGGGCAGGTGCAGGGTACGCTCCGTGCTTACCATCGTCAGCCCCGTTGTGGGGGTCCACGTCCTCCTTCATCTCCTCTTTCATTTCTTCTTCAATGACCACTTTTCCTGAGGGACACAGCAGAGGTCACCCACATGGTAGGGGCAGCCCTGGCCGTGGGGCTGTGGGGCTCTGCTGGAGGATGCCCTACGCGCACCCCTCCCAGGCCTCCCCAGGCCAGGCAGGCTTGTGACCCACACTCCTCCTGGAGGCTCATGATCTTTACCCCGACACCATCACCCTTGGACGTGCCTTTTCCAATTCCAAGTCTGACCTTGCCTGAGTCTCACCTTCTCGGACTTCTTGGATGATTTCTTCTGGAAGGACAAAGTTCCTCTCTGGATTTGGGAAGGGGAGAATCTCAGACTCATGCTGTCGGCAAAGAGAACATTTCATTTTTTAAGAAACAAAGACAAAAACATGACTTTTTGCAAATCACTAAAAATTCAGGAGTGACCAACGAATGCACACAGCTGTTTCGGAGGGCTGCAGTGGGGCCTGAGGGGGTGAGGACCATGGTGCTCTCCCCGCTTGTGCCGTCTACAGGGACTGGGCTTTGAGATAGACCCGCAGAAAGCAACACCACAGTGCAGCTGCTGGTGGGACTGATGGCGCTGGGGAAGCCCTGCCTGCAGGCCTGGCCTGGCCCTGCACCACCAGGACGTGTCCAGAGTGACAGCTCTGAGGAAAGGCTAGAGCACCTCTGGCTCCTGTCCACGTGGACAGACATGGCGGGTGTTGGCTGGGAAGCCACCACCATGGAAACCAGGTGCGGACAGCAGAGCAAGGCCCGTGGAAGGCTCCTCCTCAGGGTTCCACCCGTCCTGCAGGCCCCATGTGCCGGAAGGCACAAAGACTCCAGAGACACAGGACAGCTGCGCAAAGGGAAAGGTGAGCTAGCGGGAAGAGTCTAGATCGGGAGGCTCCGCAAATGGGGCTGCCGCTCTGCAGCTCAGATGGGTGAGCCAGGCGGCCAGCCTGTAAGTGTGATCAGCAGTTCCTGGTGCTTCAAACCCGCAGACTCCAGGGCCCGCAGGCCACCCTGTGGGTGGTCCAGGGCCTTGCATTTGTAAGGCCCCCGGCATCTCCAGCATCAGCCCCACAGAAGAACTGGGGTCTAAGGAGATGGCCTCCCAAGGTCCTGCCCAGCCCCCCATGAGCGCTAGGCCAGGATAAGGGGTACGGATGAGAGGGGAGATGGCCACCTGTCCCAGGCTTATGCCCTGGGTGATGTCCTGTAGCACCGAGTGTCATGTGGGCCCCGCGCCGGGCGTCGCAGCTGCGGGCTCCTCTGAGCCAGTGTCCGTCTGTGTCCCCACTGCTCCCCAGGGGGATCCCCCAAGGACAGAGACCCTGCCACACTTATCTCCGGAGCACCGAGCATGGGAATTCACCGGGGGCAAGGCTGCTCCTCGGGGGACCTCCTTCAGTTCAGCAGTGTGCCCTCGATGTGGCTTCCCACAGAAACAGTGCTGAGTTCCCAGGGCCCTCCCCACGGACAGGGCAGTCAGCCCTCGAGGACAGGCACCTTTCCCTCTTTCTATGCCACAACCAGGAGACGAAAATGACCTGCCCAAGGCAAACAGGAGGCCGGTGGCAGTGCAGGGTCTGCGTCCAGGGCCAGGGCACGTGCTCTTGGCTCTGTGGTGCGCCCCCCAGGCCTCAGTGGGGAGGGCTGGCGTGGACCCAGCCCAGCAGGGGGAGCAGAGCCTGCCCTAACCCCAGCACAGGTGCCCATCCCTCTGTCCTGACACCCTCCCCACACTGCTCTCTCCAGGTGCATGTCCTCACCAACTCTGCTGCCACAGGGCTCTGGTACCTGCCAACCCTCTGCCTAGAACACCTGTCTCTTCTGGCCATCCTGGTTACCTAGTTAACTGGCTCATTCTCAGACACAGCTAGCAGGGGGGCCCATAAGGACCGGGACCCCGCCTAGTCCTCACAGAAGCCACCACATTCAACTTGACATGGCTCAGATCCGGAGTACTCTGGGGCCTCCCCTAAGACTGACCATGGCCTGAGGGCCCCTCCCTCAGGCCTTGGCTCCTTGGTTGTCTCCCTGCAGGGCCCTCACTGACCACCCAGATTAAAGTAGGTTCCACACGGGAAACCTGCTGCTATTGCTAGGTTTGTGTTTACTACTTAGAACTACCTTACTTAACACTGGCTCCCCGTGGGATGTCCACAGGGCGTCAAACTCCCTGAGGACAGGGGGCACAGACCCCAGGGAGAGGCATGGAGGGCGCACCGTGGCCCGCTCCACCTGGGGGAAGGAGGGGCTCTGGCTGTGGGAGGACAGGGAGGACCAGGCCCAGCTCACCAGCGCCTGCATGTCGTACATGGTGCTCAGGTGGTCCCAGATGACCTTGGAAGGGACCTGCCGACCGATGTTCTGGCTGAACTTGTCCCGGATACAGATCATGTGGAAGTGCCGGTTCACACCTGCGGGAGGAAGGGGCCGGCTTGTTGGGGAGGGGTGGGCAAGGAGGTAAGTGGGAGAAGAGAGACGGGCGGCAGCGGGGGAGGGCTACGGACGGGAGCAGAGGTCGGGGCAGGAGTGGGTACGGTGTAGGGGGGTCAGCAGGGGTGGGTGGGCGGTGTAGGTGGGGCGGCGGTCGGTGGCCGGGTGGTGGGCGGCAGGTGTAGGAGGAGGTCTGCGGAGGGGCTGGGCTGTGGCCGCGGCGGGTGGGCGTGGGAGGCCCCGCCCGCGCCCCCGGCCCTCCCCGCCCCCACGCGGGTCCGCGGCCTCGGGCGGCGCTCGGCTCACCGACGGGCTTGTGGCCCAGCATGGCGTGGAAGAGGCACACCTCCACCTCAGGGCTCCACACCACCGTCTCTTCGGCCGGGCTGGTGGCCGCCTCCCCCGGCCCCTTGTCGCCCGCCGCGCCGCCGCCGCCCACCTCGGCCTCCCCCATGGCCCGGCCGCCCAGCGACGAGCCCCCGGCGGGAGCGGGCGCGGCCACCGGCTCCGCGCAGACGCACTCGCTGCAGGCGCGCGCTTGGCGGGCAGGCGCTCGGGGGCGCGCGCGGCAGAGCGCAGGCGCAGAGGGTAGAGCCCAGCGGGCCCCGCGGCGCCCCCTGGCGGCTCCGGGGTAACAGCGGAGCTTCTCGGGGTTGAGCAGAAACAGGCCACTGCGAGGCCTGCCCGCGCAGACGCCCAAGGGCTTTGACTGCTCCTGGCTGACCCCTGACCGGAGCGCGGCACAGAGGGCTCCCGGGACGCGGGGCGGAGCCAGGCAGGGCGGGGGCGGAGCTTGGTCCGACTCGCTGAAGCATTGACCAATCAAGGCCGCCGGGACTGCCCCGCCCCGCCCCGCAGGCTTCTCCCCGCCCCCTTCTGCGGGCCATGCCCTTCGCGGCGCCGTGCGGAGGACCCGCCGCTCAAAGTGCCCTCCGCGCCTCAGCGGGTGTGGACTCTCGGGTCCCGTTTCCGGGTCCCCTTCGCCTTTGCGGCCTGCCAGCTGTTTGTGACGGGCAAGGCGCAGAGTCAGTTTAGGCTTCAGTTTCCTCCTCGGTGCTGTGGGCGCCTTTCCCAGGGGTACTGATGAGCGCTGGTCGCCCTGCCGGCCGTCTGCTCGGGTGCCCAGGACCTGGGCTTGGCCCAAGGCCGGTCAAACGCTCGGGTTTCGTAGGAAACAACTGGAGCCACACTGGCGGGCGCTGCCCCTTGGCCGGTGAAAGCTGTGGTCAGCCTCACCCACGGTCAGCCGGCTGGGGCCTGAGTCTCCCCCTCTCTGTGAAGGGGGCTGCTGGCGAGGCTCTCCCACATTGCCACAGGGGAGATGTGGCCCAGAGGGAGTTCTGCCATGGTCCAGGGCCACCAGCTGTCGTGTGGAGCCACTGATTCTGGCTGGGCCTGGGCTCCTCACCCTAACCCACAAGAGAGACTAGACGCCTCTGGGTTCCTGCAAGGCGGGGATGGAGCACCCCCATGGCCACCTAACACAGGCTGTCCCAGGAAGCGCACAACAGATGGCGGCTCCATCATTTAATCTCCTGACTTCCCTGGACGCTTGGAGTCCCTGCTCACCCCTTCACCTTATCCTGCCTCTTCCACCTGGAAGGCCTCCTCCCTGGGTAGGCCCTCTGTTGCCCCGTCATGACACTTAGCCGCCTCTGCCATTCCTGGGAGTCACCGTGCCTGTTTATTTTTGCCACTGCACTGGAGGCTTTAAGGCTGGGCTGTGTGCTTGCAGGGCCGAGTTTAGCCAGTGGCTGTGGTCCATGACACCTTGTTCTCTTTGTGAGGAAAGATCCAGACCCTGGAATGCATATCTGGCCATCCGCCTCCGTGCACACAGGCAGGCTGGATGACTTGGGCACAAGGACACCGTCTTACGCATGTTTCTTCCTGAAGCTGCCAGTAACTGCTTCACTTCTGTGCTCCCCCAGGCACTTGTGGAACAAACTCCACCTTGGGCTGCATGCCTGTACCAGCATGCAGCTGGACCCTGTGCTCAGCCACCAGGACTTTGCCTAATACCTGGTGATCTGGCTCATTGCACTCTCTATGCAGCTGTGAGCACAGCTGGAGCCAGACTTGGGCGGATTCAGGAGTCTGGTTCCAAAGAGGCTGGGCTTCCGGGCGGGCATGCTGGGTCCCCACTGTGACTCCTTTCAGTCCCCTGGTTTTGGTGAGTTGAACAGGCTTCAGAGCAATACCCAGCCCTTGACTGCCTGGATGACCTAACCATCCGTGGTTATTTAGGAAGAGCAGCTTCAAAATGAGGTGGGGAAACACGTTAGAGAGCTCCTGCGGCTGGGTGGAGATGCTGTGTGTGGCCTGGTGCCTGCCGGTCTGGGAAGATGGCTCTGGGCGGATGAAGCGCCCTTGGGCTGCTGTTAGGGCAGTCTCTCCCACCTGACCGTTAAGGCAGGCTCCGTGCTGTCTAGGCACTGGCGCTCACTGACTCGGAGGCGGCGGTCACGTGGTGTCCTTCAGCAGCTGTCACTGAGCATCTTCTCCATGCCTGCTGGAGCGAAGGAGGGACTGGACACGGGGCCTCCCTCAAGGAGCCCATAGTTTAAGGTCAGACTCCTCTACAGAAGATGTGAGTTCTCCTTGTGGAGGGGGGGGGTGGACCAGAAGGGAGCTTCCCTGGGGATGAGGACAGTTCCAAGGGTGGCGGGACCCCAGAGGGAAGCCACAGAGGCCCCCCAACCCTGCCACCCAGCACCAGGCATGGCTGAGACATCACGGAACACACACACTCTGGGACCTTGAAGGCCTGGACGCTTGCTGGCAGGGGCAGGCTAGGGCTTCCCTGAACATTCTGGGCCACCTAGACTTCCATGGCCCTGGGTGGGGTTCAGGATGGACAGCCCACCCAATAAAAAAAAGGTATTATCTTTCCTCTTTATCTGACAGTGGGATCTCAGGGCCAGATTAGGCGGTGCCAAGCCCACAGAGAGACCTAAGGCTGTTGTCATCAATCAACCACTTGCCCCCAAAGCCCCCTTGCTGAGGCAGCTACTTCACGGCTCACCTTGGTGCTGAGCACCGGGCCAGGAATCGAGCTCGGAAGCTGCTTGCCTGTGACCCATCCTCCCCAGCCTGCTGAGCTTGGCCTGATCTTGTCCCCCAGAACCCTCACCTGGGCTCGCCTTTGCGAGTCACCCTCTAGCCCTCCAGGCCGCAAGTCTCTCTCCCTCTACCCCTTTGCTTGTCTCTCTTGCCCTGACTTCTGCTCTCGAGTCCAAGGCTGTCACCCCAGGGTGCTCTCCTGACCCCTAGACAAGAGGGTCCCACTCAGTCCCCCGCAGTTCTGCTGCTCAGCAAGTGATCTGTGGCTCCCACACTGCCTGCTGTCATTGCAAATCACCGGCAGCAATCCGCTCAGTGTCTGCCTTCTCTGCCAGCCCATCAGTTGGCTCCAGGGGGTTGAGCTGGCCTGGTTTTGCAGCCTTGATCTTTCAGGGAGGGCCGGGGACACAGGTGGGCAGTGGCTGTTTGTTGATGAACCCAGTGACTGACTGACCAACTCCCTCTCTCAGTCACTCAAGCCAAAGGAACCCCATTCCCATTCCTGTGTTGCCCAAATCTCCTTCAAAAGACGCACTTGGCCTCAAGGATCTTAATCCAAGAAATGCGGGTCTTGAACCCCAGTGGGAAATGACTAGGCTCTCCCTGGAAAGGGATCTCTCCCATCGTCAGTGAACACAAAATCGACCTTACGTGAGTTTGGCTGGTGTGAATCATTCCCCAGACCAGCTCTGGGTTCTGACCAAGTGGAGTTTCTTGTTCTGGGAGCGGTTGTTTCTGGAAGGTGGGGACTGCTGCTAACCAGATGGTGCCTGTCCCCCACACCCAAGGGGAACCTGGTTCTTGGCCATGATAGCTTGTTACGGTGAAAGGAATGTTTTGAGAGACTTTGGTCGAACATGCCCTGGGCCTTGCGTGCCACCTGCCCTGGGCACACTGTTCTCCCCTGATGACCGCCAGGATGGAGGTGGGATCTGCTGCCCTGTGGGCCACTGGTTTCACGCACTGAAGCTCATGCCTGAGACCTTGGAGGAACATGAGGACTCTGGACAACGCTTGGCTTTTGGGATTGGAAGGCCAGCTGTGGGTCCAGCTTGCCCATGTCCACTTGCTTAGCCATGTGCCATCCTGGGACCACTGAGGTCAGCTATGTTATCCCTGACACTGGGCTGAGCAGCCTCGAAGGTGAGGTGCCAGGGTACTGAGGGGCCACCAGCTGGTGGTAATTTCCCATCCAGGGCCAGCCGTGGCTTGCAGCCCACACATCACACCTCTAGGGGGCGTTTCCCACACACTGTTTAGACCCAAACCAAGGTTCCAGTCTCAGAAACCTGCAGGCAGGAGCCAAGTGAAGGTGTTTCCGGGTTCCTTGACACCCGGCCTACCCCAAAGGTGCCAGTGGCAGCATTTTGAAAACATAGTTCAGTTTTTCCTGAGGGGCATACGAGGACTGTGATGACCCCAGGGGTGCTTGGCCCACCCGCTGGGCGCAGTGCTGCCGTCAGGTCCATTGATCCTTACAGGGTCCTGCCTGAACTATTGCGGTTGGTCCCCAGGGTTACCTGTGGAGCTAAGCCGGGCCCAAGGGAGGTGGGGAGCCCTGGGGTGCTGGGCTCAGCGGCTGGTTGCTTCTGACTGGTGGACACAGGGTTTGGCATCTTTGGGGGTTTCCAGATTTAACACACTGAAAGCAAGGATGCTCAGTTGCATTTGAACTTGAATAAATCCTATTGAATGAGTGTGTCCCAAATACAGAGTGGGGTATACTTACAGCCCAAATCATTTATTTCAGGTCACATTAACTGCCTACCCCGTGTTTTATCTGATGACCCTACTCATTCTGTCTAAATCACCTTCCGGCCAGCAGCTTGGTTTGTCTTAAGTGTGGGGCCTGCCAGGTCCACAGAGTCCGTGTGCCTCTCCGGGAAGTGGGTGTGCGGGCCTGTCGCCAGGGGGCGCTCTTTAGCATTTACAGCGGGAGGGAGCCACTGGGCTGTGCCGCAGGGGAGACCCCTGGCTCCGGCTCTGCAGGCAGATGCTCTGGGTGCAGAGGCCCTCCAGGGAAGGGCACAGAAAGCAGCTTTACCGCCTCTTGCCCTGATGGACCACTGTTTGTGAATCTGTGCTATGGACTCCAAGCTGCCTGGAGTCCCGTCTACGTATGCCCCTCATGTCCTTGGGGCTCTGGGCTGGACCAGGATGAGAAGGTTTCAAGTTCTGGTAGGCCTGCTTTTCTTTTGGTGCAGCCCTCAGGACTAGCTCCACACCCCCAGGGACATGTCAGAAATGCAGACTCCACCACATAGGCACCACTGTGGGGGTGCACCACCACGTGGGTGCGCCGGAAGCACACCCAGGGCCCTCTGCCAAGGCCTCTGGGCAGGCTGGGGAGCCAGGAGCGTCTCCTGGCTGCTCCTTGCCAGTGGCCCTCATCATCTCCTTTGGGAGCAGGGAAACTGAGGCAGAGGAGCTGGGTCATTGCTATACCAAGTTGTGGGCCAGGCTTGCCACTCG